AGTGCGCACAAGCATTGGAACGATGCACAGGCGTGCGCGGTTGCTATAATTCGTCGGATCAGTGCACGACGTCGCGTAAAGCTACAATTCAAAACATGATTTAGCAACTTTTGATTTTAAATTGAGATCCTAGAATGCTGTTTTTCTCGGAATATGAAGCTGAAGCTGAGCTGAAACTTCAACAAGTAAGTTGTTCAGTATCCTTCATTAGATTTTGAACACTTTTGTTGCTTCAAACGAACAAAATGCACTAATTACAAATGATGGACTATAGCTGCTTTAAAGTAGAACAGCCGTTCTGGAATACTTCCCATTCAGTGCATTCAAAGCACCCTTGCAAGCAAAGAATGCTATCCTCAGTCCAATGCTTCACAGATTTTACCATTCACAAAGCTGAAACACAGGCTTGTAAACTGGGGCTAGAAGTACGCTGTTGTGATCCGCTGATCCAAGGGCTGTAGCACAAATCGAGAGTTTTATTCAGACGTGTGGGGCATGTGACATATTGCTGATAATTTTTCAGTGTTTTATCCAGTCGACATTTGTTGAAATCTCCCAAAATAAGCTTTGGTGCGTCTGGTGATTTCAAATCAAGCTCGTGGATGTGATTAGCAATAACTTCTGCGGCACGCGTTGCGTCTGCACATGGGTGAACATATACAACGATATAGAAAAGTTGCGTAAATTCCCTTGGAATATAAAATGGACGCAGTGAAATGGATAACAATTCGATGTCAGGGGTGCACACTTTTTTCACGTACAATAACTGTGTTACACCATTTCTCATTGATGTAGAAACACACTCCTCCCCCTTGTCTTTTCCCAGTGATTGTTTTGTCTCTGTCAAGGCGAATGGGAGATCCAAAGCCATCAATATGCAAATCTTTACTCTGTAGGTTGTCTAACCATGTCTCAGTGAATGCCAGAAGGCAGGAGTCTCTATATTCATGCATGTACTTCGTGGATGCCTGAAGCTCATCCATTTTAGAGCGAAGTGAACGAACGTTCAACATGAGAATGGTGGGGAGGGGCATTCTACCAATCTGTTTTAGTTTCTTCAGTTTCCTCCTTACACCCCCTCTCTTTCCTCTCTTTCTCTTTCTGTCATAATTCTTCTTGTCAGTTTTCTGGGTGGCAGTTGGCAGCATTTCCATGGGAAAATCAATGTTCTGTGAATCCGGCGGGCCAACAGAACCCTGAAGACTAAGCAGGTACTCACACGTATAAGAATGCCGGTAGCCATGTTGTTCTCCATGTCCATACACAGATCCAGACAAAGACGTCGCAGCACACAATTATTACAGTCAAAAACAGCACTCTACACACGTCCATGTTCATTGTAAATCATCTGAATGATTCTTGCACTATTCCCAAATACAAATGACGACGTAAAACACAGCAAACACAGTAAAAATAGAAGGAAATATATACAATTTGTAGAGCTGACCAAAACCACTGGTCACCACTAGTGCAGCGCCCTCCTTGATGAAAACCTCTATCTCGGAGTACTTGCCATTGGCGATTCAAAATGAAAATTTAAGTCAGAGTTTTTAGTAGTTCTGATGCCTAATTGGGTAGAAACATACTGACTATGATAATTTAGTCTAAAAATCATGCCATAAAATTCTGAGATGGGTTAGACAAAATGTAACGTGAGTAACCGTAACATGAGTAACCATGTTTTTTGTGGATTGCAAAAAAATGAAAGATTCTAGAAGATTTCTTTTACTCTTATTATGTGTTCCCAATTGTATGGTCTTTTATCCATTTAAAAGATATTTCCACAGGTTGCCTGTATTAGGACACTTTTTGAATAAAGCATGTTAGCTTTTTATGCACGTCCGAAAATGTAACATGAGTAACCGATTTTGTGCGTCTTGTTTATCATACATAACACATTTTTCTGGATGTCATCTTTGGTGCTTAGGTAAGTCTAGGTCTACTCTAGCTACCATGGGGATAACAGTTATTAAACCTTTTCAGTAAGGTAATTACAGCCCAAGGAAACTCAAAAGTACATCAAAAACGAAATGTGAGTAACCGTAGAATTGCCCATTTGATGCTTAAATTTAAAGTCACACTTTACAGGGTGTATCGAAAATGGATGATCAAAAAGGTAATATGTAAACATAATGAGCCTTAACACTATCAATAAGGTTCAATCTTAAAGGGTAGTTAGTTCGCTTTCCATTGATACCTTATTTGCATCTCCAGACACTGATGGCTTCGCACCATTCATTTCAAAACAAGGGCCAATATCCTTTTCCAACTCAACTGAATAAGTGGCGAGTTAAGCTGTCTGATGCATGAACAGCGTTGTCACTGAGGACAGGCATTAAAAGTGGTATGTTGGGGATGTTGTTGCATAAAATGGTACATAATAATGCAATCAATATTTGGGGTCCGCTCAAGCCTGACGCCTCATAGATCCAATGCATCATAAGTCCGAAATTTCGGACTTATGAGGCATAAAATTTATTTATTCCGCCTCATAGGTCCGATGCCACATAAGTCTGACGCTTCATAGCTCCGATGCCTCATAAATCCAAAACAGCATTTGTCCATTGTTGGACTTATGAGGCATCGGACTTATTAGGCGTCGGACCTATAAGTCGGATGCCTCATAAGTCCGAGGCGTCGGACGTATGAGGTGTCGGACTTATGATATGGGCTAGAATAATCAACCATTCCAAGGATTTTGTTTAGTTATCCAGGTCAATCCATGGCAACAACAGCGTGGCATTATCCCATAAACCACAGTCCATACAGCACTCCGTGTATCACACTATTCCAAGATGCGCGCCATTCCTGCTGCACGTGTAATAGGTAAACTGCTGAAAAGCATGTTCTATACTGTGTGTCAAGATTGCTTGAGTATAAATTTGTTATTCCACTCATGCTCCTGGAACATGAAATATAAAGAATGTCTGCATCCCACATACGACCCGGCCTTTGGCCTCCTGGCTTGTGGAACACAGACATCTTACATTATTCAGTGTTCCACTTGCACTCTCAGGATAACTAATGTAATCCTTGCAGTCTTAACAATACTGCAGAATTCCAGAACTCGGTCGTGTTTCATGCTAGAGTGTGCAACTTGAAGTTGGTGCAAAATAAGACAATGGCAGATATAGTTTCATGGGTGGAGGCAGCCCTGGAAGGTGCAATCCCGGAAGAATATTTTGGAGGACGTCTGGCACCTTTTTAGGCAACCAACAACATCTGTCGAGTGTTGTGGGTCTCGCGATCAGCGCCAAGGTATGTAGGCCTTCTTCCATTGTGTTAACAGATTGTTCAAAATCGGGCATGTGAATCACCAGATGCAGTAGAGTAGCTAAAGGCACAGTCCTAGCTAGTCGGCCTACCGTGCATTTTGGGCTCGGGTAATTATCAGCACCCAGACTCTAAGCGGTCTTAAGCAGAGTGATAAAAACCTCTCGAGCACACTTTTATTCCCTTAGTGAAACTTAGTCATAAAACAAACATGCACTTATGTAAACTATGCATTGTTGTAGGACTCGAGTCCAGGACTCGGACTTGAGTCAGACTCAAGTCACATTTTTCGCAACCTCATCCCCAGTGCTTACTTTATATCAACCGCGTTTCCAATAGTAAACCCTGGATAGGAAACTTTCTTCCTGTATCCTGATTGGATACCGCAATTGGCTAGTATGGATTTTTATCGTGTACTTGGTGCTATTATTCACAACGTGCAGTATGTGTTTTTGCGATCATTCGTCCACGCCTTCTCGAAAATACTAATTTCCTTTCCAATTTGTTCATATTAATATGAAATATGATACTGCATGTTGTCTCGATAAGATCGTTACAGTTTGATTTCAAAAATTTTGTTTTCGTAACTCGCGCCGTGCTCGCGCTGCTACGAATTGACTCTGTTTTTACCCCAGACACCGCATACAAAAACAAACGCTAAGTGTATCGCATATCCAGGCACCAGACTGTTCCTCATTTGCATACGTGTTCAAAAATCTTGCACATGCAAATGATCCAATACCAGGGTGAGAGAGCAGGTAGTGGTGGGTGCGTACTGCTCGACACCCTGGGGACGAGGTTGCATTTTTCGTGATTTGGACTCGGCTCGAGTCACATTGGAAAATGATGACTCGGACTCGAGCTTGGTGACTCGTGACTCGAGTCACGTATTTTCATCAAAAGAAAAAACATCGTTGCGTATTTGTGCAACGAACATATCATTCTTTTTTACTCCATAGACAAAACACGGCACCGCGGATAATCGTATCCAGGGACCGCGCACGGGATAGGGTTGGGAAAGGATCATTGAGGAATAATGTTTGGGTGATAAAACATGCAGGGAATGGCATGGAAGAGGTATTTTAGGGATGGGAATTAAAAGGAAAACACATTTTGGGTCTAAACAACATGTTCACAACACAAGGTAAACTATATACATGAGGATTTACTTAAAAGACAATGGATGATTGAAAAATATTTAAAATTTGATTTGTTTGGTGAACAACTAAGAAAAAGTGACTTGTGACTCGTTCTCGAGGCTTGTGACTCGAGACTCGGACTCGGACTCAAGGCTTGTGTCTCGAGACTTGGACTCGAGGCTTGTGACTTGGGATTTGCAAACTGGACTCGATGTTGGTGACTCGACTACAACACTGATACTATGTAACGTTTTGACAACATACATTTTAGGCCTAGTATGTGTATAGGCCTACTATAAGTCTAATTATGTGGGGCTTGTAACAAAGGTTTCTAACCTATTTTACTCAAAATTGTCTCGACTTCAATGTTGTAAAGAAGTCTTGCTAATTGTTCATAAATCAAAAGACTAAGAATAGGTTAGGCTATCACAGTTGTGCATTGTGTAGTTGTGGGCCCTGTTCTAATATAAGAGAATGAAAATCCACTTTTTAGGTGAGGCATTATACGATATTTAAAACCAAAATATGTTGTGGATAGACGGCATGTTTTGGGATTATTTTTTGGGGGGGGGGAATTTAGGGGTAAAACATTATGAAAACAACAAAACCGAACACGAAAATAATATAATGGCTATCACCGCTATCACCGCGACACTAAATCTCTAAACTGCATTTTTTTACAAAATGATACTGTTCATAAGGTTACAGAAGTAATTTCAGAATGATAGGGCGAAGGTACAGATGTAGTCCACTAGCTTGTTAGACTAGCGATTACCCATATGGGAAATTGTACTTTGTTGTGATGGTAAAGTTATGGGTGTCCTTCTATTGGACCTTTTCAGCCATTCCTGCATTTTTCTTTTCAATTTCAGTTAAATTGGTAAGATGGTGCAGCACAGGAGAATGGCAAGCTTTTTGTAAGTTGTAAAGATGACATTTGCCACATAATAAGGAGTTGTTTTTTGTGACATGGATCTGTGTTTTGTTTCTGTTAATTTCAGACTATTCTTTTGCATGAAACTTAAATGTTAAAGGGAATGTACATCATTGGCTTTTGCTGTAATTTTCAGAAATGAACTATTTGAGGGGTTAGTATAATAGATCAAATATTGTTTAACTGACATGATTGAAGTTTTGTGTTTTGAAAATGCTTGAAAAACCAAGAAAAACAAAAAATGTTTAAGTAGTCTGGTTCCCTGACTCCACTAAAGATAAAATGGATCAATTTATAGTTGTCGGAAAATTGTAAGGTATTAGGGAACCAGTCTAGCTTACCTGCAGCCGTTCATGAACATGTAACCAAAAGCAAACAAAATTTGGACTGGAAAAAAAAAATTTGGAGCAGTAGTTGAAAAATAGTTAGGTTTTTCCAACGGTGGTCGGCCGACTACCGTTGGAAATGTATACAAAAAAAAAATTTTCTTGAAAATGACTTGACACCAGGTGCCATAATTTTACAGGATGCTTTAGACTGTCATTTACCAACATCCTAGTTAGGTATTTCGTAAAAACTTGGTAGTTGTATTTTTCGATGTTTGCAAATGTTGTATATTGCCATTAAACTGCAGTGTAGTAGCTGTTGCATACATGTATACATGTAGCTAACACGAAGCTATGCTTGGGATTCTGATGATAACTCTAATATTTGTTGGTGCCAGGGCCAATTCCAACTTCAACTTGGAGCATGCATATTTTGCAAGTTTTGCCCCTCCAAAAGAGATGGAAGTCAAATAGATCAAACCCCAAAAGATGCATTTTTATTTCCAAATTGAACAGATGGTTCTTTTTCTCTATGGTTGGATTGTCTCATTTCAAAGTGACAGTCGATCATTCTGCCCCCATGAGTGAGGGATAGTATTATGTACATGAAGTAAGTGAAGAAATGAAATCAGCACTTTATTTCATTTCATGTCTGGAATATATGATTCTGTTTCTTTTCATTCATGTAGGTGCTTGTGCAGGTGTATGGGCAGGGCCCTGAGAATTACAAGACAGAAATGGCGACATTATTTTACAGTGGAACTGGACAAGTTCGTCAGAGGATTGTACCCAAATCAGCCCTTGGGCATATACGGATTTAGGTACTTGACAGCAACCAAAGAGAGATTCCTATGTGAAGTAAGACCAGAATGTGCTCGAAGCCTTAAAACACTTCAGAAGAAGAGGAACATTTATCTGTTGCCCAACAGAATACTCACTAGGTAAGGATTAAATATGACTTGAAGCTTTGCATGGCGGATGACATACAATAGACTAATTGCGGGTAACACCATGTGGAAAGAAATCTCTTCTGAGGACGGACGGAGCACACTGTCCGTAATGTCGAGTTCTACACTCAACCAACCAGTTCTTTTCAGAACCACACTTATTCCAAGAAGAGATTTCTTTCCACACAGTGTTACTCGCAATTTTGTCTATTTTGGGTAAGGATTATACAATTATTTTTTTTAATCCATGCTAAACATCAATGGTCCTATATGTATGCTTCCATCAAGTGCACCCATTTCTACAGCTCTTTTTCTCAAATAATTGTCAGTGTTTTTAATGCAAATAGTATTCAAGTGTGGTTATTGAGTGGTCGGGCACAACCCGACCACTCTTGGAGTTGTTACGATTAATCTTTCTTTTTTCCGTACAACACGTTTCCGCGGGTTTTCTCCTAAACAGTTTATGATATGAACTTGTAACGTTTGATATATATCGACCCTCATCCTAAGTGGTGCATATTACTCTGACGTCATTATGACGTCATCGGGTGTCAAATTACAAGCGATTTTAGCTGAAAAAGTGACAAATTATTTTTACCTATAACTCTTGAACAAAGTAATCAATGATGTTTGTATTCTGTAATCGAATAGACCATTAATTGAGTGGTCGGGCACAACCCGACCACTCTCTATTATTTTTACAATTACTCTTAATTTTTTTTCCGTACGGCACGTTTCCCCGGGTTTTCTCCTAAACGGTATATGGTATGAACTTGTAACTTTCAACATATATCGGCCCTCATCCCTAGTGGTGCATATTACTCTGACGTCATGATGACGTCATTGGGTGTCAAATTACAAGCAATTTTCGTTGAAAAAATGATGATATTCTTTCACCTATAACTCTTGAACAAAACGATCAATTGTTTTCCAACCTTGTAATCAGATAGACCATTAATAGATGAACTTTTTTTTGTCACGTACGTTAACTCGCTTGACCTTTACTTCCGGGTCTACCGGAAGGTTACAGTTAGGTCAATTCAAAACAAAGATTTTAGCCTGAAATCAAAACAAAGCAACAATTCTTCCAAACGATTTACGGTAAGATCATTAAACCTTGTGTAAACTTGTACCATGTAACGAAGATGTTGTAAATTTGTTACGTCATCATGACGTCATCAGGTATCAAATTACAAGCGATTTAAGGGCAACTTTTGACAAAATAGTTTGCGTTATATCTTTTAAACTAAATAGAGTATCGTGTTTGTTTTTTTCGTGAGGTTGTAGACTATGCCGTGAGAAACATTTCGTAATCCCGGACACAAAACCACATGACCTTCACTTCCGGTGTTACTGGAAGTGCAATAAAAAACGAACATAACTCAAAAGCGGAAGCATTTTACTACACACATCAAATTAGGAAAGTGTTTAGTGAGGAATGTCAGACAAATAAAACAGTGTGATGACGTCATTTTTCGAAAGGGCGCCCCCTAGCGGGACATAAAATAGCGTGAGCTTTCTTTAATTTGAAAACCATCCGTTCAAATTTTACCAAATAGTCCCTCGATATTCTTTGATTAACCACATATAACTTGGCAAGGTTTCCAATTCATGACGTCATCAGACCGGAAGTTACTTCTTTGAGAATTTGAAAACGAACATATTTTAAATGTAATTCTGTCAATTGATCCATGTCGATCTTAGCCCCAAAAAAGATATCCATTACAATGTTCACATTTGCTTCCAAATACTGTGTTGTCATCTAACCGGAAGGTGGGTGTTATGAATACATGCGTTATTTTACTTTAAAATGAACATCTCTTTCAGTTTTTGAATAATGACATCATCAACCAAGAAATAACTTGCATACATGTGTACATAGAATGCTTACTGAAATTGATCACACCGTTAAAGATGTATTTTTTTACTTGAAGATAAAAATAATTGATTTTACTGGAAATGATTTTATTTCGAAATCCTTTGTTCTTACATACAAATATTTATAACTTAAAGGAAACATGCAGTGGAAGTTCAGCTCATCTTGTTTTCATTCACATTACTATGTGTTGCAACAATACATACAAGATCTTAATACTTGTTTTCATTGGAAGTGACAAGAAAGTGGTAATTTTTCAATTATTAGGAAATCCTTTCATCAACATATAAGAGGGCGCTATTTTGCGTTTGTCACACAAGGTACTCCTTGCCAAAGGTGCGTTATGAACAGTACAAAAATTAGTCCTTCAAAATTACCCACAAAAATTTTTTGAAGAAATATTTGCCACTATGATTGTCCAAATAAGCTGTTTTACATGATAAACAATAAAAAGTGGAATATACTCCAAGAAAATAAAGAAAACTTTGACATATATTTGTATACATAAAGCTATGGAGACACTATACGGTTCTGGCTTGAATGACATCACGCTTTGGCTCGTATGGAAATTTTCATGAGCATAAAAACTTAAATGTTGACATTTCTCTCTTTTACTGCTACAACGGAGGTGGAAACTTCATAGTTACATGGCAAGAAAGTTGTTTTAAATGTATATTTAAGTTAGATAAATCCTATTACATGTTCCCATTACCTGGACCGTGTTTCATAAAATAGTTGTCTACCCGACCACTCTGCGTTTGTAACAACAAACGCGAAACTCTAGTTGATATTTTATTTTTTTTTGTCGCGTACGTGTAGTTGCTTGACCTTTACTTCGGGTCTACCAGAAGGTCAAAGTTAGGTGAAATAAAAATGAAGAAATTAGTCTGAAATGAACAAAGCAAATTTTTTTTCGAACGGTTTACAGGATTATCATAAAACCTCATGTGAACTTGTACCATGTTACGAAGATGTTATAATTTTGTTACGTCATCATAACATCATCAGGTATCAAATAACAAGCGATTTGATGGCACGATTTGACAAAATATTTTGACCTATATCTCTTGAACTAAATAGAGTATCGTGTTTATTTTTTTCGTGCAGTTGTAGACGATGCCTTGAGCAACATTTCTTATTCCCGGGCACAAAACTGCTTGACCTTCACTTCCGGTGTTACCAGAAGTGCAAGAGAAATTGAATTTCACTCTAAAATGGAAACATTTTTCTACAGACAAATACATTATGGAAGAGTTAAGTGAGGAATGCAAAACACGAAAACATAATTTTGACATCATCCAACTAAAGGGCGCCCTCTAGCGACACTTCAAAACAGTTTTTATCTTTTAACCACAAATGAATTTGCAAGGTTTCATAATCATGACGTCATCAGACCAGAAGTTACTGTAGAAAGAATTCAACTATAATCATTTTATTTTTAATTTCAATCCATCGTTATGATCCCTGTCTCATGACTTTATTGCCCCAAAATATGACATCTGTTACACTTAATATTGTCCTTTTACTTCCAAATACTATGACGTCATCAAACCGGAAGTTGGTTGTTATTATTACCAACACTTAATTTCGATATTTCCATGCGTTATTTTTACTTAAAGATTATCAAGTGTCCTCTCTTCCCTTTTTTGACTGATGACATCATCAAACCGAAAATAACTTGTACATGTTCCTAAATGTTTACTGAAATTGATCATACATGTATCCTAAAAGACGCATTCTTTTTGTACAAAATAATTGGTACTGGAAATGATAAAGTTCTCGATCCTTTTTTCTGACATGATAACTTAACTGGACAATGTCTATTGAAATAGTTGTCTACCCAACCACTCTGCGTTTGTAACAACAAACCCGAACCTCTAGTTATCATAATAACTGTAATGGGGGTCATAATTTCCATGAATCACTGTAAATGAAAACCTTTTCACAAATGAAAGAAATTTGAGATTATAAAAAAGTTCTTTTTCTCAGCCAAAATTAGGCCTCACGTTATGTTTGTGCTGATGCGTTCACTATATTTCTGCATCCTGCATGACCAATATTTTAATTACTTTTTCTAAATTTAATAGGAAAATTAAAAAATCGACAGGAACTTTTCCTTCTTTCCCTATAGTCATCACCCACTTCTTTTATTTTCTGTAACTGTAATTAAGTCATTATGATCTGTCTTCTCCAATGAAAGAAACAGGGGGAATTATGCTTGATGGACTGATACATGGTTAACCCATATCCCCAACTTCTATATGTTTTTACATGTACTATGAATCTTCATGAATCATTATTATTATTATTGTAAAAACAACAAATATAAAGCAATAACAGAGAGAGAAAAAAGAATAAAATTAGGTACAAACACTACTTAGAAGGGACATAAGTGATACAAGAACAAAAAAATAACAGGACAAACCTAAACCCGCATGGGCAAGGGCTGGTAAAAGCAACACGAATCACTATGAGTTTTGAAGGGTTTGCATGGTGGAAAGATACTAAGACAAGATAAGTTTGCGGTAGGACCATGTGAATAAATATCTTTTGTGAGTATGTGATTCTGAAAAGAACAGGAGGGACTCAACGTTTCGAACAGTATGCTCTGCCCGTCGTCAGGAGAATGAGGATTCCATCTATGATGTTATGTACGTTATAAGGATGGGTGCGGTGAGGCGTGATAAGGATGCAAACTAGTGAAGCTCGAAACCGGTGAAGCTGAGAAGGATGCAAGTCAACTGAGGGATGCTGGATGATCACTGGAGCATGTCAGTACACAGTGAGGGGGCAAAGGGGAAGGAGCTAAGGGTATAGGTGACCCATAGGCGATAACTGAGTTGTCCTAGGGTATAGGAGACCCATCGGACTTGGACTTGAGGATTGGGCGCCAGATGTCGCTGATGTAGAAACCGATGTCTTGTGGAACAGTGTTGTGCTTGACGATCTCGATGTTTTCTCTGATGCATTGGGGGCACGAGCGGTCGATGCTAGTGAGTAGTTCTGCTTGGCTCCAGTTGATCTGGTGGTCCTCGGTGTGGGAGTGTTTGACGATGGAAGATTTCTCGAAGTCCCCCTTCCTGCCATGGGCTTTGTGTTCATTGAGTCTGGGGGGGGGGGGGGGAGGTCCCTGCCAGTCTCGCCAATATACACTTTGCCACATTGACATGGAATTTTGTACACCCCTGGTCTGCATTCTGGGTCACACCGATCCTTGTGTGAAGTCAGCAGGTTTTGCATCTTCAGAGCGGCTTTGTGGAAGACTGGAATTCCATGCTTGTGGAGGATGCGTTGGATGTCATGAGAAGTGGTGCCTAAGTAGGCAAGGATGATGGAACTAGGGGCCCTAACTAGTTGGCTTTGGGTACAGGAGACCCTACGGGCGGGAATGGTTCTTGGGTCTTGTGTCTTGACTTGGCTGGGCTGGTATCCGTTGCACTGCAGTGCTGTGGTGATGTGATGGAGTTCTTGAGGGAGTTGTTCCTCGTCGCAGACGAGGACTCGGTTGACGGAGAACTTGATCCTTGGGTGGTGAAAAGAGTTGCTGAGCTGTGGGTGGGCTATCTGGACACCTCAACGTCAAGAAATAAGATGTTGTCATCTCTTTCTTGTTCCATGGTGAACTGGATGCTGCTGTGAAGCTTGTTGAGGTGTTGCAAGAAAAGCTGGAGGTTGTCTTGCCCGTGTTACCAGATGACAAAGATGTCGTCCACGTACCGGAGCCAAACCTTGGGTTGGTGATCTGCTGTTGCGATGGCGGTCTGTTCAAGTTCTTCCAAGTCAGCCTGAACTGGGGATATAGGAGATCCAAGCCTGAACCGGGGATATAGGAGATCCCATGGAGGTTTCAGCCGACTGTTCAAAGAATTTGTCCCGCCATCTAAGGCTGGATGAGTTGACACATGTGAGGAGCAGGTCTTGAAGCTGGTCAGGGGTGAGGTCGGTGCGGTCTTGGAGAGTGGTGTCTGCTTGAAGTCTGTCCTTGGCGACAGTGCAGGCGTCTGAGGTGGGAATGTTGGAGGGAGACGACATCAAAGCTGACCATGATGTCATCCGGCTGGAGGGTGAGGTCTTGGATGAATGCTGCAAACTGGTTGGAGTTCTTGATGCACTCACTAGCATCGACCGCTGGTACCCCGACGCATCAGAGAAGCCATCGAGATCATCAAGCACAATACTGTTCCACAAGACATCGGTTTCTACATCAGCGACATCTGGCGCCCCATCCTCAAGTCCAAGTCCGATGGGTCTCCTATACCCTAGGACAGCTCAGTTATCGCCTATGGGTCACCTATACCCTTAGCTCCTTCCCCTTTGCCCCCTCACTGTGTACTGACATGCTCCAGTGATCATCCAGCATCCCTCAGTTGACTTGCATCCTTCTCAGCTTCACCGATTTTGAGCTTCACTAGTTTGCATCCTTATTACGCCTCACCGCACCCATCCTTATAACGTACATCGCATCATCGTTGGAATCCCTCATTCTCCTGACGACGGGCAGAGCATACTATTCGAAACGTTGAGTCCCTCCTGTTCTTTTCAGAACCACATATACTCACAAAAGAGATTTATTTACATGGTGCTACCGCAAACTTATCTTGTCTTAAGAATCACTATAGTCCTTAGACTTGCTAGCCCTCATGCTGGCAAAGGAAACGTTAAACATTGATATAAAATATATAAATATATATATATTATATGTATACACAAACATTAAATTAGAGATAAACAAAACACACACATATTTCACAACATGAAAGATTAAACATACCCAGAAGTATAAACTACAAGTACAAACAATCACCTGAATAAACACTCACTAGACAGAAGACACATAGCCACAAAAAGGACCATACAAACCGAAAATAGTCAAACCGCCAAGACACACATTCTGGAATTTGTATCCTTGTGGAGTAATTTCTTTGTTCTTGTGTACTTAAGTTTTCGAGTTTGAAAGTGCTCCCTTTTTAACCAGAACTAATTTCCTTGGCTGAAGTTCGAAATTGATATCCCTTACATAAAATACTTCAATTTGCGACTGATCAACACACCTTGAGAATTCCTAAAAACAAAACTACTAGCATAAACTCAAGGTATTTATTTATTTAGGTTAAAAAAAATAGTGGTAAACTACAAGTTGGTACTGCATGTGCAAATTATAGGTAGTTTCTTCACACATTTAGTGTTGAGATTTCAGCTATAACATGATTTGGTGACTTTATTCTGAAATCAATCTATCAGTATGTACAAAATTACCTTTGACACTCCTAGATAATTAAAGCATCAATCTTTTAACTGCTAAGAATAGTATTGATCAAAATAACCTGTGTGGGAGGTTTGCTACTCGGTACATTTACTGTTGATTTCTGCACACTTCCCCTTCCAAAAAAAATGGTATGCACCATCATCACTACCCTTCAGCAGTTCAGTGTATTTTTTCTAACGATGAATTGCTTCATGTTGTTTTTGAACAGGACAGCCCAACACTAGTTATGTAACAGCTGCGAACCAGACCACTAACCACCAGGCTTAAACAGAAACAACTACAAAATGACTATGTAAAATTAGCCTCCCCCTTCAAGCATACATGTTATACATTCTCATGCAATTGCTTATAAGAACGGAATTGGCTCAGGAAAACAATGTTATGAATCATTTTGTGTGTGTGCAAAATTGGCTTTTATTGTAATGCAACAAGGCTTGACCATCTTTTATGGTGAACACTATTTCAATTTTGTTTTCAATGTTCTATTTCAATGTTCAAAAGTGTACATCTGGAGATGAGACGTTTCACTTGAGGGATTATTTGTTTAGTTTTTGCAGGTTATTGATTCTATTGAATAGTTGGGGAGATTTGGACTTGACAAGTGTTGTGAGGGTAGAAGGTTTTATTTGCAGATCAGTACCATTTCCAGGATTTTCAGTGAAAGGGACTGATGCAGTAGTATTTTAAACACAATAGGTTTGCACAAATTGCAAAGGGCAGGGCATGTTGCTATTTTATTTATTTTTATTTTATTTCTTTCTGGTAATGAAACCAAGGATTCCTCAAAAGTGCCCTAGGCACTGTAGCCTGAAAGCCTGACGAAACCTGTAGAGAGTAGACAATGAGAAAATATTACAGTTTTAGAGGTGGGAGGAAAAGCACAGAGGAATATTTGGGGAAAACCCACAGAATCAGGTAGGGACTGAAAACCCAATCCACATATTGGCCCAGGTGTGATTCGAACCCGGGTCACAGCGGTGGAAGGCGAGAAAAGTACCGCTACGCCAGTCAAGGTGTCTATTAGGTCCTTTTGTACGTTTGCACACTTAGTGGTTGATGCTGATGTTGATACCGATTCTACCTGGAATGACATCAAATCCTGTTTGCTGAATGCATGTGATGCTGTCTGTGGTTGGACCAAAGGTGGTGGTGTAATAAGGTGGATAATGTAGTATAACCAGGGTCACAGCGGTGGAAGGCGAGAAAAGTACCGCTACGCCAACCTGATTCCCCAATCTGCTGAATATCAATGAAACGTCAATGAAGCCATCTTAGTATTCAATAAATAATCCACACGATCCACTTTCACGATATCTGCTGTTGTTTTTATAGGTTGCTGCTACTGTAATCAACATGTAGAATATGATCGAGGTCGAAAGCAAGCATTCAGATATGTTGACTTGGGTATCTTGTCTGAAGAAGACAGTGAAGAGGTAGCTATGTCATTAGTGCAAGTTTCAATAAGGATCAACTTCAGCCTAACTTCAACCATCCTGCACATCCAGGCACATCAGTCTTATGTGTTTCTTGATCCATCTCATATTATCAAGCTCACCAAGGAACCTCCTGCACAAGTTTATTGCAGTGAAGTGGCCTGACCAAGGAGTCATCCAGTGGGAAATGGTGGAGCGTCTTAACAACCTTCAAGCAACTCAACAACTTCAACTGGCTAACAAAGTCACCAAGAGGTGAGTTGATTATGCAAGTATTTCTTATGCACACACAATTTGAGAAAGCTGTATATCGGTAAGGAAATTGTTTTGTTTATCAAAAGTACATAATGTTGCTTTTAAAAATAAGCAAGTGCAACCAGTTATTTATGTTCCCTAGTTTGGTGAAAAAAAAGGTTAAAAGCCTAGTATGCACTTCCCATTTCAGTGCTTTAGATTTTAGATGAAAATAATACAGGAGGGGAAAACACCTACTTTAGCAGTCCAAGAAAACTTGGGCCGTGCAATGGGAGACAATTACTTAGATTTGTCCTTAAAAAGCCTGTCTATCGATATGGCTTACTTTAAGTTTGCTTAAAGGAGTGATAATCCACGGCTTTCAGTAAACAAAATCTGAAACATTATATTTGTCAAATTCACCAATATTTTTATAAATATTTGTATAGCTTTTGTATTCATTTTTTTTTTACATGACCCACTTAGCTATGACAAGCAATAATCTGAATAAGTCATTAATCTGCAAATCAATGTTCTAACTAATGAATATCTGATTGGTATAAGTGAAGTGACCTAACTGGGCATGTTAGACAAGCTTCAGCAGGTTTTGATTGTCATCATGGCGGCCGCAGGTTTAAGCTTCTGGTCAATCTGGTGTGCGAGCTTGGCTTTGCAAACCACAGAAGCCACGTTCCATCCTGCAAAAGAGACGCATTTGGAAACTGCATAAGCCTGAAGTCCGTGTGGAATAGGAGAGGTCAGTCAAGGTGTCTATTAGGTCCTTTTGTACGTTTGCACACTTAGTGGTTGATGCTGATGTTGATACCGATTCTACCTGGAATGACATCAAATCCTGTTTGCTGAATGCATGTGATGCTGTCTGTGGTTGGACCAAAGGTGGTGGTGGAATAAGGTGGATAATGTAGTATAACCAGCAATGTTTACAGTGTCATGGAATATAGGTTGACCCCCACTGGGATAGCCATATTATTATTGGAATAGCACACCGGAGACTAGATTGCTTAGGTGTTAATCATCATGGTGTACGTTGCAAACCAGGATCCAGTTTCCATAGTTTATCAACCATGACTTGTAAATCATGATTGCACATTCATTCTGTGTAATTCTTTGAGGTTCAGGGAAGAAAGGCATGACACTTGATGATAATTGCTTGTTCGTACAAAGCTCTTGAGCTTTGTATCCATTATAATGGAATACATCTGGTTGAAGGTAAAGATCGACGGACACCTGCTTTTGTTTTACTGTCTGCTGAAGACAAACCGATTTCGTGACATTCACCCGCTTACTTAATGCAAGTGCTGGGTGACCTCAATGTGCATTTTGAAGGATGGCTCCCACACACAAAAGGAAACAATGTCGCAGGGAGGAAGGCTTTGTTTTTGCTGTTGCAACGGTCTTTGAACAAATGGTGGAGGAGCCTACACCCTATGCAACCAGCGCTGATGGGTCTGCTTGATGGCTCCTTGTTGAACGTTGTTGTTGTTGGCTCCTTTTTTAAACTCGCTGTTTTCCTCTAAATCGGTGTCGAGCGAACCTGATCGGCATCTTCCAAACTGATGATGATCCTGCATCCCCGCACTCCCCCTTGACTACGTCAGCTTCTATCCAAAATGGTTGGAACCAAACTCCTTAAACTGGACATCACCAAAGCAACCTGGGCCTGACCTCGTCCCAGCTATCGTCTTTACCTGAAGCGATGCGGTCCTGAGCTAGCCACAGGGATCAATCTGTGGGCCCAACTCTGTTTCTGGCTTACATCAACCATATCGGGAAGGAGGTGCAGTTGTGTCAGGTCCTGATGTATGCCGACGACACAAGAATTTTCTGGTCATTTCATTGTTTTGAGGAGAGAGCACAAAAAGCAGTAGAAATGAGGAAGAACTGAAAGATGTTTACGACGAAAGCCTGGATCTGCGATTTATTTCCTGTAAACACATCGCCAATAGGCAAATTTACTCTTTAGTTATTCTAAACCAAACATCTTTGTAATTCTGGACTCGAGGAATATGTAAACGAAATTTCGGCTTTCTCCATCTGTTAAAATTATTCAAACAAATTGTTGTAATTTGTTTCTGTATGGTAGCAGTAGTTCATACCCTGTGCTTCAGTGCAGTTGTATTGCAATGAAGATGAATAACAACACAGTGAATTGACAGGGTAGCATTCGCATGCATATCCTGAAATATGGACCCTCATCAACATGACAATTTTTTAACAGTGTGAGGACCAAGTCTCAGCTACGTGAAATGACCGGGTGATGGGGAGATGGCCGCTTTTAATAGACAGCACCAAAGGGGAGGTCATTCTCTAAATGAATCTCAAAATAGGGATATAGATAATTCATGTCTGCTTGGTCCGGTAAAATTTGAATTGTAAATGGAAAAACAACCTAAAGCAAACTCTGTTGGCATGAAATATAAACCTGTCTCTTTGCCTTAAAAAAAAGAAGAAGAAAACTCACAATAAAACTTGCATTTTGCATATAAAAACAAAGTGCCAAAATAAAGTAAAATTAGCTTCAACCAACCACACCGCAACTTCTACTCACCAACAGCCCACACATATGTACGGGAAGCCTCTTCCGGCTGCCGTTTGTGAGTACACTGCGTTCTTGGGTAGCAAACATCCATGCTCTGCTGGGTTTTTCACAACATGCTTTTCTACTATCTGAATAAGAAGTGTACATCTTGGGATGAGAGCTTTCAGACAACACGAGTTACTTGGAGACGTCAAGTGTTTGATACGGGCTTACTAGTTACTTGCACAGGCCAGCCACTTCAATTGAACCGACGTCTTGACCCTGTCTCTCCTCTGGTCGCAGATGATTAAAACCAATAGGGTGAGGTTGACTCGGCGCAAATCTCCTTCACTTTAGTCACGCAAAGGTGCCGTAAATATAGTTTTTCACAGACTTGTGTTTTCTTAAAAAGAATTTTTTTTTTGCTAAGAAAATAGCAAGGAAGAACCGGATTTGTGCGATACTAATAAATTGTTGATACTAATAAATTGTTGGAAAATTCCAAAGTATTCCAAGAAAGTTGCCGCCGTGAATTAGGGTTATCAAGGGGAGGAAGATGGGATTTGCTATCAGCATCAACCGGGCCGTTCCTCGATCATTCAGCTGATGAATCTTTTTGAAAACATTGTATTTTCAACCAGCTGCCTAGAGCGTATTTGTTAAGTTTGTTTTCCTTTTTTTGAAATTTAATACGCATATGGGGAGTAAAATCAGTTCCATTGCTGGGTTGAGAGTCGTTAAAGCAACGCGGTGCGAGTCGTTAAGCAACGCGGTGAGAGTCGCTAAGATGCGTGGTAAGACTCGTTTAAACGGCACGATGAGAGTCGTTAAAGCAACGCGTTGAGAGTCGTTAAAGCAAAACAACACACTTCACCAATGCATGCCACTTAATAGCAGTGTTTTAGAAAAATATGAAAATATGCTGAAACAGTTTCCTTTACAACATTGTCTCTGACATTCATTCCCACAGTTGCTGCAAAGCTTTGGCTTCTAGCATAGCTTCCAGTGACTCTACTTTGACACAGAACTGAAATGGCAAAGTTTCTGCGATGATACTGTCTTTTACGATGAGGTTGTGGCATCTTCGTAGTGGTTTCTCACATTCGGTAAGAATTCAATTTGTTTTTTACTAGCTCGTTCCTTGGGTTTTAAAACTTTGTAAGCTTTTCGGAGGGGGGGGGGGCACTAAAGGCAACTTATGTGATTTTTTGGGGGGCAATTCAATATTTGAAATGGGAGGGGGGGGGGCACCGGGGGAAGGGGAGCACAAGAAGGAGCATGAACATCCACTGGGGCGCACGTGCCCCCATATCCCCTTCCAAAAGATAATAAATAGCAGAAAATTGTGGTTCAATAATTGGATAATTGCCTGTTTTTTTTCTTTTCCCAGCTATAACGCCCATGTTAGCTGTCAGTGCCAGGAGCAGCCTCAGTGGCAACTTTATCGGTAAGGAAATTGTTTTGTTTATCAAAAGTACATAAGGTTGCTTTTAAAAATAAGCAAGTGCAACCAGTTATTTATGTTCCCTAGTTTGGTGAAAAAAAGGTTAAAAGCCTAGTATGCACTTCCTATTTCAGTGCTTTAGATTTTAGATGAAAATAATACAGGAGGGGAAAACACCTACTTTAGCAGTCCAAGAAAACTTGGGCCGTGCAATGGAGACAATTACTTAGATTTGACCTTAAAAAGCCTGTCTATCGATATGGCTTACTTTAAGTTTGTTTAAAGGAGTGATAATCCAAGGCTTTCAGTAAACAAAATCTGAACATTATATTTGTCAAATTCACCAATATTTTTATAAATACTTGTATTGCTTTTGTATTCATTTTTTTTTACATGACCCACTTAGCTATGACAAGCAATAATCTGAATAAGTCATTAATCGGCAAATGAATGTCATCAATGTTCCAACTAATGAATATCTGATTGGTAAAGTGAAGTGACCTAACTGGGCATGTTGGACAAGCTTCAGCAGGTTTTGATGGTCATCATGGCGGCCGCAGGTTTAAGCTTTTGGTCAATCTGGTGTGCGAGCTTGGCTTTGCAAACCACAGAAGCCACGTTCCATCCTCCAAAAGAGACGCATTTGGAAACTGCATAAGCCTGAAGTCCGTGTGGAATAGGAGAGGTCAGTCAAGGTGTCTATTAGGTCCTTTTGTACGTTTGCACACTTAGTGGTTGATGCTGATGTTGATACCGATTCTACCTGGAATGACATCAAATCCTGTTTGCTGAATGCATGTGATGCTGTCTGTGGTTGGACCAAAGGTGGTGGTGGAATAAGGTGGATAATGTAGTATAACCAGCAATGTTTACAGTGTCATGGAATATAGGTTGACCCCCACTGGGATAGCCATATTATTATTGGAATAGCACACCGGAGACTAGATTGCTTAGGTGTTAATCATCATGGTGTACGTTGCAAACCAGGATCCAGTTTCCATAGTTTATCAACCATGACTTGTAAATCATGATTGCACATTCATTCTGTGTAATTCTTTGAGGTTCAGGGAAGAAAGGCATGACACTTGATGATAATTACTTGTTCGTACAAAGCTCTTGAGCTTTGTATCCATTATAATGGAATACATCTGGTTGAAGGTAAAGATCGACGGACACCTCCTTTTGTTTTACTGTCTGCTGAAGACAAACCGATTTCGTGACATTCACCCGCTTGTTTCTGTATGGTAGCAGTAGTTCATACCCTGTGCTTCAGTGCAGTTGTATTGCAATGAAGATGAATAACAACACAGTGAATTGACAGGGTAGCATTCGCATGCATATCCTGAAATATGGACCCTCATCAACATGACAATTTTTTAACAGTGTGAGGACCAAGTCTCAGCTACGTGAAATGACCGGGTGATGGGGAGATGGCCGCTTTTAATGGACAGCACCAAAGGGGAGGTCATTCTTTAAATGAATCTCAAAATAGGGATATAGATAATTCATGACTGCTTGGTCCGGTAAAATTTGAAATGTAAATGGAAAAAACAACCTAAAGCAAACTCTGTTGGCATGAAATATAAACCTGTCTCTTTGCCTTAAAAAAAAAGAAGAAGAAAACTCACAATAAAACTTGCATTTTGCATATAAAAACAAAGTGCCAAAATAAAGTAAAATTAGCTTCAACCAACCACACCGCAACTTCTACTCACCAACAGCCCACACATATGTACTCTTCCGGCTGCCGTTTGTGAGTACACTGCGTTCTTGGGTAGCAAACATCCATGCTCTGCTGGGTTTTTCACAACATGCTTTTCTACTATCTGAATAAGAAGTGTACATCTTGGGATGAGAGCTTTCAGACAACACGAGTTACTTGGAGACGTCAAGTGTTTAATACGGGCTTACTAGTTACTTGCACAGGCCAGCCACTTCAATTGAACCGACGTCTTGACCCTGTCTCTCCTCTGGTCGCAGATGATTAAAGCCAATAGGGTGAGGTTGACTCGGCGCAAATCTCCTTCACTTTAGTCACGCAAAGGTGCCGTAAATATAGTTTTTCACAGACTTGTGTTTTCTTCAAAAGAATTTGTTTTTTGCTAAGAAAATAGCAAGGAAGAACCGGATTTGTGCGATACTAATAAATTGTTGATACTAATAAATTGTTAGAAAATTCCAAAGTATTCCAAGAAAGTTGCCGCCGTGAATTAGGGTTATCAAGGGGAGGAAGATGGGATTTGCTATCAGCATCAACCGGGCCGTTCCTCGATCATTCAGCTGATGAATCTTTTTGAAAACATTGTATTTTCAACCAGCTGCCTAGAGCGTATTTGTTAAGTTTGTTTTCCTTTTTTTGAAATTTAATACGCATATGGGGAGTAAAATCAGTTCCATTGCTGGGTTGAGAGTCGTTAAAGCAACGCGGTGCGAGTCGTTAAGCAACGCGGTGAGAGTCGCTAAGATGCGTGGTAAGACTCGTTTAAACGGCACGATGAGAGTCGTTAAAGCAACGCGTTGAGAGTCGTTAAAGCAAAACAACACACTTCACCAATGCATGCCACTTAATAGCAGTGTTTTAGAAAAATATGAAAATATGCTGAAACAGTTTCCTTTACAACATTGTCTCTGACATTCATTCCCACAGTTGCTGCAAAGCTTTGGCTTCTAGCATAGCTTCCAGTGACTCTACTTTGACACAGAACTGAAATGGCAAAGTTTCTGCGATGATACTGTCTTTTACGATGAGGTTGTGGCATCTTCGTAGTGGTTTCTCACATTCGGTAAGAATTCAATTTGTTTTTTACTAGCTCGTTCCTTGGGTTTTAAAACTTTGTAAGCTTTTCGGAGGGGGGGGGGCACTAAAGGCAACTTATGTGATTTTTTGGGGGCAATTCAATATTTGAAATGGGAGGGGGGGGCACCGGGGGAAGGGGAGCACAAGAAGGAGCATGAACATCCACTGGGGCGCACGTGCCCCCATATCCCCTTCCAAAAGATAATAAATAGCAGAAAATTGTGGTTTAATAATTGGATAATTGCCTGTTTTTTTTTCTTTTCCCAGCTATAACGCCCATGTTAGCTGTCAGTGCCAGGAGCAGCCTCAGTGGCAACTTTATCGGTAAGGAAATTGTTTTGTTTATCAAAAGTACATAAGGTTGCTTTTAAAAATAAGCAAGTGCAACCAGTTATTTATGTTCCCTAGTTTGGTGAAAAAAAGGTTAAAAGCCTAGTATGCACTTCCTATTTCAGTGCTTTAGATTTTAGATGAAAATAATACAGGAGGGGAAAACACCTACTTTAGCAGTCCAAGAAAACTTGGGCCGTGCAATGGAGACAATTACTTAGATTTGACCTTAAAAAGCCTGTCTATCGATATGGCTTACTTTAAGTTTGTTTAAAGGAGTGATAATCCAAGGCTTTCAGTAAACAAAATCTGAACATTATATTTGTCAAATTCACCAATATTTTTATAAATACTTGTATTGCTTTTGTATTCATTTTTTTTTACATGACCCACTTAGCTATGACAAGCAATAATCTGAATAAGTCATTAATCGGCAAATGAATGTCATCAATGTTCCAACTAATGAATATCTGATTGGTAAAGTGAAGTGACCTAACTGGGCATGTTGGACAAGCTTCAGCAGGTTTTGATGGTCATCATGGCGGCCGCAGGTTTAAGCTTTTGGTCAATCTGGTGTGCGAGCTTGGCTTTGCAAACCACAGAAGCCACGTTCCATCCTCCAAAAGAGACGCATTTGGAAACTGCATAAGCCTGAAGTCCGTGTGGAATAGGAGAGGTCAGTCAAGGTGTCTATTAGGTCCTTTTGTACGTTTGCACACTTAGTGGTTGATGCTGATGTTGATACCGATTCTACCTGGAATGACATCAAATCCTGTTTGCTGAATGCATGTGATGCTGTCTGTGGTTGGACCAAAGGTGGTGGTGGAATAAGGTGGATAATGTAGTATAACCAGCAATGTTTACAGTGTCATGGAATATAGGTTGACCCCCACTGGGATAGCCATATTATTATTGGAATAGCACACCGGAGACTAGATTGCTTAGGTGTTAATCATCATGGTGTACGTTGCAAACCAGGATCCAGTTTCCATAGTTTATCAACCATGACTTGTAAATCATGATTGCACATTCATTCTGTGTAATTCTTTGAGGTTCAGGGAAGAAAGGCATGACACTTGATGATAATTACTTGTTCGTACAAAGCTCTTGAGCTTTGTATCCATTATAATGGAATACATCTGGTTGAAGGTAAAGATCGACGGACACCTCCTTTTGTTTTACTGTCTGCTGAAGACAAACCGATTTCGTGACATTCACCCGCTTGTTTCTGTATGGTAGCAGTAGTTCATACCCTGTGCTTCAGTGCAGTTGTATTGCAATGAAGATGAATAACAACACAGTGAATTGACAGGGTAGCATTCGCATGCATATCCTGAAATATGGACCCTCATCAACATGACAATTTTTTAACAGTGTGAGGACCAAGTCTCAGCTACGTGAAATGACCGGGTGATGGGGAGATGGCCGCTTTTAATAGACAGCACCAAAGGGGAGGTCATTCTCTAAATGAATCTCAAAATAGGGATATAGATAATTCATGTCTGCTTGGTCCGGTAAAATTTGAATTGTAAATGGAAAAAACAACCTAAAGCAAACTCTGTTGGCATGAAATATAAACCTGTCTCTTTGCCTTAAAAAAAAGAAGAAGAAAACTCACAATAAAACTTGCATTTTGCATATAAAAACAAAGTGCCAAAATAAAGTAAAATTAGCTTCAACCAACCACACCGCAACTTCTACTCACCAACAGCCCACACATATGTACGGGAAGCCTCTTCCGGCTGCCGTTTGTGAGTACACTGCGTTCTTGGGTAGCAAACATCCATGCTCTGCTGGGTTTTTCACAACATGCTTTTCTACTATCTGAATAAGAAGTGTACATCTTGGGATGAGAGCTTTCAGACAACACGAGTTACTTGGAGACGTCAAGTGTTTGATACGGGCTTACTAGTAACTTGCACAGGCCAGCCACTTCAATTGAACCGACGTCTTGACCCTGTCTCTCCTCTGGTTGCAGATGATTAAAACCAATAGGGTGAGGTTGACTCGGCGCAAATCTCCTTCACTTTAGTCACGCAAAGGTGCCGTAAATATAGTTTTTCACAGACTTGTGTTTTCTTCAAAAGAATTTTTTTTTTTGCTAAGAAAATAGCAAGGAAGAACCGGATTTGTGCGATACTAATAAATTGTTGATACTAATAAATTGTTGGAAAATTCCAAAGTATTCCAAGAAAGTTGCCGCCGTGAATTAGGGTTATCAAGGGGAGGAAGATGGGATTTGCTATCAGCATCAACCGGGCCGTTCCTCGATCATTCAGCTGATGAATCTTTTTGAAAACATTGTATTTTCAACCAGCTGCCTAGAGCGTATTTGTTAAGTTTGTTTCCTTTTTTTGAAATTTAATACGCATATGGGGAGTAAAATCAGTTCCATTGCTGGGTTGAGAGTCGTTAAAGCAACGCGGTGCGAGTCTTTAAGCAACGCGGTGAGAGTCGCTAAGATGCGTGGTAAGACTCGTTTAAACGGCACGATGAGAGTCGTTAAAGCAACGCGTTGAGAGTCGTTAAAGCAAAACAACACACTTCACCAATGCATGCCACTTAATAGCAGTGTTTTAGAAAAATATGAAAATATGCTGAAACAGTTTCCTTTACAACATTGTCTCTGACATTCATTCCCACAGTTGCTGCAAAGCTTTGGCTTCTAGCATAGCTTCCAGTGACTCTACTTTGACACAGAACTGAAATGGCAAAGTTTCTGCGATGATACTGTCTTTTACGATGAGGTTGTGGCATCTTCGTAGTGGTTTCTCACATTCGGTAAGAATTCAATTTGTTTTTTACTAGCTCGTTCCTTGGGTTTTAAAACTTTGTAAGCTTTTCGGAGGGGGGGGGCACTAAAGGCAACTTATGTGATTTTTTGGGGGGCAATTCAATATTTGAAATGGGAGGGGGGGGGGGGCACCGGGGGAAGGGGAGCACAAGAAGGAGCATGAACATCCACTGGGGCGCACGTGCCCCCATATCCCCTTCCAAAAGATAATAAATAGCAGAAAATTGTGGTTTAATAATTGGATAATTGCCTGTTTTTTTTTCTTTTCCCAGCTATAACGCCCATGTTAGCTGTCAGTGCCAGGAGCAGCCTCAGTGGCAACTTTATCGGTAAGGAAATTGTTTTGTTTATCAAAAGTACATAAGGTTGCTTTTAAAAATAAGCAAGTGCAACCAGTTATTTATGTTCCCTAGTTTGGTGAAAAAAAGGTTAAAAGCCTAGTATGCACTTCCTATTTCAGTGCTTTAGATTTTAGATGAAAATAATACAGGAGGGGAAAACACCTACTTTAGCAGTCCAAGAAAACTTGGGCCGTGCAATGGAGACAATTACTTAGATTTGACCTTAAAAAGCCTGTCTATCGATATGGCTTACTTTAAGTTTGTTTAAAGGAGTGATAATCCAAGGCTTTCAGTAAACAAAATCTGAACATTATATTTGTCAAATTCACCAATATTTTTATAAATACTTGTATTGCTTTTGTATTCATTTTTTTTTACATGACCCACTTAGCTATGACAAGCAATAATCTGAATAAGTCATTAATCGGCAAATGAATGTCATCAATGTTCCAACTAATGAATATCTGATTGGTAAAGTGAAGTGACCTAACTGGGCATGTTGGACAAGCTTCAGCAGGTTTTGATGGTCATCATGGCGGCCGCAGGTTTAAGCTTTTGGTCAATCTGGTGTGCGAGCTTGGCTTTGCAAACCACAGAAGCCACGTTCCATCCTCCAAAAGAGACGCATTTGGAAACTGCATAAGCCTGAAGTCCGTGTGGAATAGGAGAGGTCAGTCAAGGTGTCTATTAGGTCCTTTTGTACGTTTGCACACTTAGTGGTTGATGCTGATGTTGATACCGATTCTACCTGGAATGACATCAAATCCTGTTTGCTGAATGCATGTGATGCTGTCTGTGGTTGGACCAAAGGTGGTGGTGGAATAAGGTGGATAATGTAGTATAACCAGCAATGTTTACAGTGTCATGGAATATAGGTTGACCCCCACTGGGATAGCCATATTATTATTGGAATAGCACACCGGAGACTAGATTGCTTAGGTGTTAATCATCATGGTGTACGTTGCAAACCAGGATCCAGTTTCCATAGTTTATCAACCATGACTTGTAAATCATGATTGCACATTCATTCTGTGTAATTCTTTGAGGTTCAGGGAAGAAAGGCATGACACTTGATGATAATTACTTGTTCGTACAAAGCTCTTGAGCTTTGTATCCATTATAATGGAATACATCTGGTTGAAGGTAAAGATCGACGGACACCTCCTTTTGTTTTACTGTCTGCTGAAGACAAACCGATTTCGTGACATTCACCCGCTTGTTTCTGTATGGTAGCAGTAGTTCATACCCTGTGCTTCAGTGCAGTTGTATTGCAATGAAGATGAATAACAACACAGTGAATTGACAGGGTAGCATTCGCATGCATATCCTGAAATATGGACCCTCATCAACATGACAATTTTTTAACAGTGTGAGGACCAAGTCTCAGCTACGTGAAATGACCGGGTGATGGGGAGATGGCCGCTTTTAATAGACAGCACCAAAGGGGAGGTCATTCTCTAAATGAATCTCAAAATAGGGATATAGATAATTCATGTCTGCTTGGTCCGGTAAAATTTGAATTGTAAATGGAAAAAACAACCTAAAGCAAACTCTGTTGGCATGAAATATAAACCTGTCTCTTTGCCTTAAAAAAAAGAAGAAGAAAACTCACAATAAAACTTGCATTTTGCATATAAAAACAAAGTGCCAAAATAAAGTAAAATTAGCTTCAACCAACCACACCGCAACTTCTACTCACCAACAGCCCACACATATGTACGGGAAGCCTCTTCCGGCTGCCGTTTGTGAGTACACTGCGTTCTTGGGTAGCAAACATCCATGCTCTGCTGGGTTTTTCACAACATGCTTTTCTACTATCTGAATAAGAAGTGTACATCTTGGGATGAGAGCTTTCAGACAACACGAGTTACTTGGAGACGTCAAGTGTTTGATACGGGCTTACTAGTAACTTGCACAGGCCAGCCACTTCAATTGAACCGACGTCTTGACCCTGTCTCTCCTCTGGTTGCAGATGATTAAAACCAATAGGGTGAGGTTGACTCGGCGCAAATCTCCTTCACTTTAGTCACGCAAAGGTGCCGTAAATATAGTTTTTCACAGACTTGTGTTTTCTTCAAAAGAATTTTTTTTTTTGCTAAGAAAATAGCAAGGAAGAACCGGATTTGTGCGATACTAATAAATTGTTGATACTAATAAATTGTTGGAAAATTCCAAAGTATTCCAAGAAAGTTGCCGCCGTGAATTAGGGTTATCAAGGGGAGGAAGATGGGATTTGCTATCAGCATCAACCGGGCCGTTCCTCGATCATTCAGCTGATGAATCTTTTTGAAAACATTGTATTTTCAACCAGCTGCCTACAGCGTATTTGTTAAGTTTGTTTCCTTTTTTTGAAATTTAATACGCATATGGGGAGTAAAATCAGTTCCATTGCTGGGTTGAGAGTCGTTAAAGCAACGCGGTGCGAGTCTTTAAGCAACGCGGTGAGAGTCGCTAAGATGCGTGGTAAGACTCGTTTAAACGGCACGATGAGAGTCGTTAAAGCAACGCGTTGAGAGTCGTTAAAGCAAAACAACACACTTCACCAATGCATGCCACTTAATAGCAGTGTTTTAGAAAAATATGAAAATATGCTGAAACAGTTTCCTTTACAACATTGTCTCTGACATTCATTCCCACAGTTGCTGCAAAGCTTTGGCTTCTAGCATAGCTTCCAGTGACTCTACTTTGACACAGAACTGAAATGGCAAAGTTTCTGCGATGATACTGTCTTTTACGATGAGGTTGTGGCATCTTCGTAGTGGTTTCTCACATTCGGTAAGAATTCAATTTGTTTTTTACTAGCTCGTTCCTTGGGTTTTAAAACTTTGTAAGCTTTTCGGAGGGGGGGGCACTAAAGGCAACTTATGTGATTTTTTGGGGGGCAATTCAATATTTGAAATGGGAGGGGGGGGGCACCGGGGAAGGGGAGCACAAGAAGGAGCATGAACATCCACTGGGGCGCACGTGCCCCCATATCCCCTTCCAAAAGATAATAAATAGCAGAAAATTGTGGTTTAATAATTGGATAATTGCCTGTTTTTTTTCTTTTCCCAGCTATAACGCCCATGTTAGCTGTCAGTGCCAGGAGCAGCCTCAGTGGCAACTTTATCGGTAAGGAAATTGTTTTGTTTATCAAAAGTACATAAGGTTGCTTTTAAAAATAAGCAAGTGCAACCAGTTATTTATGTTCCCTAGTTTGGTGAAAAAAAGGTTAAAAGCCTAGTATGCACTTCCTATTTCAGTGCTTTAGATTTTAGATGAAAATAATACAGGAGGGGAAAACACCAACTTTAGCAGTCCAAGAAAACTTGGGCCGTGCAATGGAGACAATTACTTAGATTTGACCTTAAAAAGCCTGTCTATCGATATGGCTTACTTTAAGTTTGCTTAAAGGAGTGATAATCCAAGGCTTTCAGTAAACAAAATCTGAACATTATATTTGTCAAATTCACCAATATTTTTATAAATACTTGTATTGCTTTTGTATTCATTTTTTTTTACATGACCCACTTAGCTATGACAAGCAATAATCTGAATAAGTCATTAATCGGCAAATGAATGTCATCAATGTTCCAACTAATGAATATCTGATTGGTATAAGTGAAGTGACCTAACTGGGCATGTTAGACAAGCTTCAGCAGGTTTTGATTGTCATCATGGCGGCCGCAGGTTTAAGCTTCTGGTCAATCTGGTGTGCGAGCTTGGCTTTGCAAACCACAGAAGCCACGTTCCATCCTGCAAAAGAGACGCATTTGGAAACTGCATAAGCCTGAAGTCCGTGTGGAGTAGGAGAGGTCAGTCAAGATGTCTATTAGGTCCTTTTGTACGTTTGCACACTTACTGGTTGATGCTGATGTTGATACCGATTCTACCTGGAATGACATCAAATCCTGTTTGCTGAATGCATGTGATGCTGTCTGTGGTTGGACCAAAGGTGGTGGTGGAATAAGGTGGATAATGTAGTATAACCAGCAATGTTTACAGTGTCATGGAATATAGGTTGACCCCCACTGGGATAGCCATATTATTATTGGAATAGCACACCGGAGACTAGATTGCTTAGGGGTTAATCATCATGGTGTACGTTGCAAACCAGGATCCAGTTTCCATAGTTTATCAACCATGACTTGTAAATCATGATTGCACATTCATTCTGTGTAAGTCTTTGAGGTTCAAGGGAAGAAAGGCATGACACTTGATGATATAATTGCTTGTTCGTACAAAGCTCTTGAGCTTTGTATCCATTATAATGGAATACATCTGGTTGAAGGTAAAGATCGACAGACACCTGCTTTTGTTTTACTGTCTTCTGAAGACAAACCGATTTCGTGACATTCACCCGCTTACTTAATGCAAGTGCTGGGTGACCTCAATGTGCATTTTGAAGGATGGCTCCCACACACAAAAGGAAACAATGTCGCAGGGAGGAAGGCTTTGTTTTTGCTGTTGCAACGGTCTTTGAACAAATGGTGGAGGAGCCTACACCCTATGCAACCAGCGCTGATGGGTCTGCTTGATGGCTCCTTGTTGGACGTTGTTGTTGTTGGCTCCTTTTTTAAACTCGCTGTTTTCCTCTAAATCGGTGTCGAGCGAACCTGATCGGCATCTTCCAAACTGATGATGATCCTGCATCCCCGCACTCCCCCTTGACTACGTCAGCTTCTATCCAAAATGGTTGGAACCAAAATCCTTAAACTGGACATCACCAAAGCAACCTGGGCCTGACCTCGTCCCAGCTATCGTCTTTACCTGAAGCGATGCGGTCCTGAGCTAGCCACAGGGATCAATCTGTGGGCCCAACTCTGTTTCTGGCTTACATCAACCATATCGGGAAGGAGGTGCAGTTGTGTCAGGTCCTGATGTATGCCGACGACACAAGAATTTTCTGGTCATTTCATTGTTTTGAGGAGAGAGCACAAAAAGCAGTAGAAATGAGGAAGAACTGAAAGATGTTTACGACGAAAGCCTGGATCTGCGATTTATTTCCTGTAAACACATCGCCAATAGGCAAATTTACTCTTTAGTTATTCTAAACCAAACATCTTTGTAATTCTGGACTCGAGGAATATGTAAACGAAATTTCGGCTTTCTCCATCTGTTAAAATTATTCAAACAAATTGTTGTAATTTGTTTCTGTATGGTAGCAGTAGTTCATACCCTGTGCTTCAGTGCAGTTGTATTGCAATGAAGATGAATAACAACACAGTGAATTGACAGGGTAGCATTCGCATGCATATCCTGAAATATGGACCCTCATCAACATGACAATTTTTTAACAGTGTGAGGACCAAGTCTCAGCTACGTGAAATGACCGGGTGATGGGGAGATGGCCGCTTTTAATAGACAGCACCAAAGGGGAGGTCATTCTCTAAATGAATCTCAAAATAGGGATATAGATAATTCATGTCTGCTTGGTCCGGTAAAATTTGAATTGTAAATGGAAAAAACAACCTAAAGCAAACTCTGTTGGCATGAAATATAAACCTGTCTCTTTGCCTTAAAAAAAAGAAGAAGAAAACTCACAATAAAACTTGCATTTTGCATATTTCATTTCATTTCATTTCATTTCATAAAAGGTTTATTAAAAATTGTCATCACAGCAAAAAAACTGAATTGCAACAATTATTACAATATTTAAAAAAAAAATGAAGAGATAACATTCAATATATATTTAAAACATTTAAGAAAAGTAAAAGACTAAAATGCACCAAAGCGCAGGCGAACCAGCGCTGTCTCGACACCCGCGCAAACTCACTGCACTCCATCCCGACCCAATCATCCCATGAATGGAATCAATTCCATGGACAATTAAGCCGGGACGGAGCACACCAGTCCGCACAAGTGTCAAGATCACTTAGTTAAAATAGTTAAAACTGATAAACTGCATCCCAAAGGAACACTTTCAAAATAAACTAGCCAAAACAACTTCAATCAGACGAGAGAGACACTACTTTAGTAAAAAAAAGTTAGTCAAAAAGACCTCTCCCACGACCAACCAATGCTGCCTCTATACCAGCCCACTCTGAGAGCGAAAATAAAAATTACTATTGCACATTATTTGAAATGATATTGATACTGGTACATGTAGTTGAAAGCATGAAAATAAGCGATAAAAAACAAAGTGCATATAAAAACAAAGTGCCAAAATAAAGTAAAATTAGCTTCAACCAACCACACCGCAACTTCTACTCACCAACAGCCCACACATATGTACGGGAAGCCTCTTCCGGCTGCCGTTTGTGAGTACACTGCGTTCTTGGGTAGCAAACATTCCATGCTCTGCTGGGTTTTTCACAACATGCTTTTCTACTATCTGAATAAGAAGTGTACATCTTGGGATGAGAGCTTTCAGACAACACGAGTTACTTGGAGACGTCAAGTGTTTGATACGGGCTTACTAGTTACTTGCACAGGCCAGCCACTTCAATTGAACCGACGTCTTGACCCTGTCTCTCCTCTGGTTGCAGATGATTAAAACCAATAGGGTGAGGTTGACTCGGCGCAAATCTCCTTCACTTTAGTCACGCAAAGGTGCCGTAAATATAGTTTTTCACAGACTTGTGTTTTCTTCAAAAGAATTTTTTTTTTGCTAAGAAAATAGCAAGGAAGAACCGGATTTGTGCGATACTAATAAATTGTTGATACTAATAAATTGTTGGAAAATTCCAAAGTATTCCAAGAAAGTTGCCGCCGTGAATTAGGGTTATCAAGGGGAGGAAGATGGGATTTGCTATCAGCATCAACCGGGCCGTTCCTCGATCATTCAGCTGATGAATCTTTTTGAAAACATTGTATTTTCAACCAGCTGCCTAGAGCGTATTTGTTAAGTTTGTTTTCCTTTTTTTGAAATTTAATACGCATATGGGGAGTAAAATCAGTTCCATTGCTGGGTTGAGAGTCGTTAAAGCAACGCGGTGCGAGTCGTTAAGCAACGCGGTGAGAGTCGCTAAGATGCGTGGTAAGACTCGTTTAAACGGCACGATGAGAGTCGTTAAAGCAACGCGTTGAGAGTCGTTAAAGCAAAACAACACACTTCACCAATGCATGCCACTTAATAGCAGTGTTTTAGAAAAATATAAAAATATGCTGAAACAGTTTCCTTTACAACATTGTCTCTGACATTCATTCCCACAGTTGCTGCAAAGCTTTGGCTTCTAGCATAGCTTCCAGTGACTCTACTTTGACACAGAACTGAAATGGCAAAGTTTCTGCGATGATACTGTCTTTTACGATGAGGTTGTGGCATCTTCGTAGTGGTTTCTCACATTCGGTAAGAATTCAATTTGTTTTTTACTAGCTCGTTCCTTGGGTTTTAAAACTTTGTAAGCTTTTCCGAGGGGGGGGCACTAAAGGCAACTTATGTGATTTTTTGGGGGGCAATTCAATATTTGAAATGGGAGGGGGGGGGGGCACCGGGGGAAGGGGAGCACAAGAAGGAGCATGAACATCCACTGGGGCGCACGTGCCCCCATATCCCCTTCCAAAAGATAATAAATAGCAGAAAATTGTGGTTTAATAATTGGATAATTGCCTGTTTTTTTTCTTTTCCCAGCTATAACGCCCATGTTAGCTGTCAGTGCCAGGAGCAGCCTCAGTGGCAACTTTATCGGTAAGGAAATTGTTTTGTTTATCAAAAGTACATAAGGTTGCTTTTAAAAATAAGCAAGTGCAACCAGTTATTTATGTTCCCTAGTTTGGTGAAAAAAAGGTTAAAAGCCTAGTATGCACTTCCTATTTCAGTGCTTTAGATTTTAGATGAAAATAATACAGGAGGGGAAAACACCTACTTTAGCAGTCCAAGAAAACTTGGGCCGTGCAATGGAGACAATTACTTAGATTTGACCTTAAAAAGCCTGTCTATCGATATGGCTTACTTTAAGTTTGTTTAAAGGAGTGATAATCCAAGGCTTTCAGTAAACAAAATCTGAACATTATATTTGTCAAATTCACCAATATTTTTATAAATACTTGTATTGCTTTTGTATTCATTTTTTTTTACATGACCCACTTAGCTATGACAAGCAATAATCTGAATAAGTCATTAATCGGCAAATGAATGTCATCAATGTTCCAACTAATGAATATCTGATTGGTAAAGTGAAGTGACCTAACTGGGCATGTTGGACAAGCTTCAGCAGGTTTTGATGGTCATCATGGCGGCCGCAGGTTTAAGCTTTTGGTCAATCTGGTGTGCGAGCTTGGCTTTGCAAACCACAGAAGCCACGTTCCATCCTCCAAAAGAGACGCATTTGGAAACTGCATAAGCCTGAAGTCCGTGTGGAATAGGAGAGGTCAGTCAAGGTGTCTATTAGGTCCTTTTGTACGTTTGCACACTTAGTGGTTGATGCTGATGTTGATACCGATTCTACCTGGAATGACATCAAATCCTGTTTGCTGAATGCATGTGATGCTGTCTGTGGTTGGACCAAAGGTGGTGGTGGAATAAGGTGGATAATGTAGTATAACCAGCAATGTTTACAGTGTCATGGAATATAGGTTGACCCCCACTGGGATAGCCATATTATTATTGGAATAGCACACCGGAGACTAGATTGCTTAGGTGTTAATCATCATGGTGTACGTTGCAAACCAGGATCCAGTTTCCATAGTTTATCAACCATGACTTGTAAATCATGATTGCACATTCATTCTGTGTAATTCTTTGAGGTTCAGGGAAGAAAGGCATGACACTTGATGATAATTACTTGTTCGTACAAAGCTCTTGAGCTTTGTATCCATTATAATGGAATACATCTGGTTGAAGGTAAAGATCGACGGACACCTCCTTTTGTTTTACTGTCTGCTGAAGACAAACCGATTTCGTGACATTCACCCGCTTGTTTCTGTATGGTAGCAGTAGTTCATACCCTGTGCTTCAGTGCAGTTGTATTGCAATGAAGATGAATAACAACACAGTGAATTGACAGGGTAGCATTCGCATGCATATCCTGAAATATGGACCCTCATCAACATGACAATTTTTTAACAGTGTGAGGACCAAGTCTCAGCTACGTGAAATGACCGGGTGATGGGGAGATGGCCGCTTTTAATGGACAGCACCAAAGGGGAGGTCATTCTTTAAATGAATCTCAAAATAGGGATATAGATAATTCATGACTGCTTGGTCCGGTAAAATTTGAAATGTAAATGGAAAAAAACAACCTAAAGCAAACTCTGTTGGCATGAAATATAAACCTGTCTCTTTGCCTTAAAAAAAAAAGAAGAAGAAAACTCACAATAAAACTTGCATTTTGCATATAAAAACAAAGTGCCAAAATAAAGTAAAATTAGCTTCAACCAACCACACCGCAACTTCTACTCACCAACAGCCCACACATATGTACGGGAAGCCTCTTCCGGCTGCCGTTTGTGAGTACACTGCGTTCTTGGGTAGCAAACATCCATGCTCTGCTGGGTTTTTCACAACATGCTTTTCTACTATCTGAATAAGAAGTGTACATCTTGGGATGAGAGCTTTCAGACAACACGAGTTACTTGGAGACGTCAAGTGTTTAATACGGGCTTACTAGTTACTTGCACAGGCCAGCCACTTCAATTGAACCGACGTCTTGACCCTGTCTCTCCTCTGGTCGCAGATGATTAAAGCCAATAGGGTGAGGTTGACTCGGCGCAAATCTCCTTCACTTTAGTCACGCAAAGGTGCCGTAAATATAGTTTTTCACAGACTTGTGTTTTCTTCAAAAGAATTTGTTTTTTGCTAAGAAAATAGCAAGGAAGAACCGGATTTGTGCGATACTAATAAATTGTTGATACTAATAAATTGTTGGAAAATTCCAAAGTATTCCAAGAAAGTTGCCGCCGTGAATTAGGGTTATCAAGGGGAGGAAGATGGGATTTGCTATCAGCATCAACCGGGCCGTTCCTCGATCATTCAGCTGATGAATCTTTTTGAAAACATTGTATTTTCAACCAGCTGCCTAGAGCGTATTTGTTAAGTTTGTTTTCCTTTTTTTGAAATTTAATACGCATATGGGGAGTAAAATCAGTTCCATTGCTGGGTTGAGAGTCGTTAAAGCAACGCGGTGCGAGTCGTTAAGCAACGCGGTGAGAGTCGCTAAGATGCGTGGTAAGACTCGTTTAAACGGCACGATGAGAGTCGTTAAAGCAACGCGTTGAGAGTCGTTAAAGCAAAACAACACACTTCACCAATGCATGCCACTTAATAGCAGTGTTTTAGAAAAATATAAAAATATGCTGAAACAGTTTCCTTTACAACATTGTCTCTGACATTCATTCCCACAGTTGCTGCAAAGCTTTGGCTTCTAGCATAGCTTCCAGTGACTCTACTTTGACACAGAACTGAAATGGCAAAGTTTCTGCGATGATACTGTCTTTTACGATGAGGTTGTGGCATCTTCGTAGTGGTTTCTCACATTCGGTAAGAATTCAATTTGTTTTTTACTAGCTCGTTCCTTGGGTTTTAAAACTTTGTAAGCTTTTCGGAGGGGGGGGGCACTAAAGGCAACTTATGTGATTTTTTTGGGGGCAATTCAATATTTGAAATGGGAGGGGGGGGGGCACCGGGGGAAGGGGAGCACAAGAAGGAGCATGAACATCCACTGGGGCGCACGTGCCCCCATATCCCCTTCCAAAAGATAATAAATAGCAGAAAATTGTGGTTTAATAATTGGATAATTGCCTGTTTTTTTTCTTTTCCCAGCTATAACGCCCATGTTAGCTGTCAGTGCCAGGAGCAGCCTCAGTGGCAACTTTATCGGTAAGGAAATTGTTTTGTTTATCAAAAGTACATAAGGTTGCTTTTAAAAATAAGCAAGTGCAACCAGTTATTTATGTTCCCTAGTTTGGTGAAAAAAAGGTTAACAGCCTAGTATGCACTTCCCATTTCAGTGCTTTAGATTTTAGATGAAAATAATACAGGAGGGGAAAACACCTACTTTTAGCAGTCCGAGAAAACTTGGGCCGTGCAATGGAGACAATTACTTAGATTTGTCCTTAAAAAGCCTGTCTATCGATATGGCTTACTTTAAGTTTGCTTAAAGGAGTGATAATCCAAGGCTTTCAGTAAACAAAATCTGAACATTATATTTGTCAAATTCACCAATATTTTTATAAATACTTGTATTGCTTTTGTATTCATTTTTTTTTACATGACCCACTTAGCTATGACAAGCAATAATCTGAATAAGTCATTAATCGGCAAATGAATGTCATCAATGTTCCAACTAATGAATATCTGATTGGTATAAGTGAAGTGACCTAACTGGGCATGTTAGACAAGCTTCAGCAGGTTTTGATTGTCATCATGGCGGCCGCAGGTTTAAGCTTCTGGTCAATCTGGTGTGCGAGCTTGGCTTTGCAAACCACAGAAGCCACGTTCCATCCTGCAAAAGAGACGCATTTGGAAACTGCATAAGCCTGAAGTCCGTGTGGAGTAGGAGAGGTCAGTCAAGATGTCTATTAGGTCCTTTTGTACGTTTGCACACTTACTGGTTGATGCTGATGTTGATACCGATTCTACCTGGAATGACATCAAATCCTGTTTGCTGAATGCATGTGATGCTGTCTGTGGTTGGACCAAAGGTGGTGGTGGAATAAGGTGGATAATGTAGTATAACCAGCAATGTTTACAGTGTCATGGAATATAGGTTGACCCCCACTGGGATAGCCATATTATTATTGGAATAGCACACCGGAGACTAGATTGCTTAGGGGTTAATCATCATGGTGTACGTTGCAAACCAGGATCCAGTTTCCATAGTTTATCAACCATGACTTGTAAATCATGATTGCACATTCATTCTGTGTAAGTCATTGAGGTTCAGGGAAGAAAGGCATGACACTTGATGATAATTGCTTGTTCGTACAAAGCTCTTGAGCTTTGTATCCATTATAATGGAATACATCTGGTTGAAGGTAAAGATCGACAGACACCTGCTTTTGTTTTACTGTCTTCTGAAGACAAACCGATTTCGTGACATTCACCCGCTTACTTAATGCAAGTGCTGGGTGACCTCAATGTTCATTTTGAAGGATGGCTCCCACTTACAAAAGGAAACAATGTCGCAGGGAGGAAGGCTTTGTTTTTGCTGTTGCAACGGTCTTTGAACAAATGGTGGAGGAGCCTACACCCTATGCAACCAGCGCTGATGGGTCTGCTTGATGGCTCCTTGTTGGACGTTGTTGTTGTTGGCTCCTTTTTTAAACTCGCTGTTTTCCTCTAAATCGGTGTCGAGCGAACCTGATCGGCATCTTCCAAACTGATGATGATCCTGCATCCCCGCACTCCCCCTTGACTACGTCAGCTTCTATCCAAAATGGTTGGAACCAAACTCCTTAAACTGGACATCACCAAAGCAACCTGGGCCTGACCTCGTCCCAGCTATCGTCTTTACCTGAAGCGAGGCGGTCCTGAGCTAGCCACAGGGATCAATCTGTGGGCCCAACTCTGTTTCTGGCTTACATCAACCATATCGGGAAGGAGGTGCAGTTGTGTCAGGTCCTGATGTATGCCGACGACACAAGAATTTTCTGGTCATTTCATTGTTTTGAGGAGAGAGCACAAAAAGCAGTAGAAATGAGGAAGAACTGAAAGATGTTTACGACGAAAGCCTGGATCTGCGATTTATTTCCTGTAAACACATCGCCAATAGGCAAATTTACTCTTTAGTTATTCTAAACCAAACATCTTTGTAATTCTGGACTCGAGGAATATGTAAACGAAATTTCGGCTTTCTCCATCTGTTAAAATTATTCAAACAAATTGTTGTAATTTGTTTCTGTATGGTAGCAGTAGTTCATACCCTGTGCTTCAGTGCAGTTGTATTGCAATGAAGATGAATAACAACACAGTGAATTGACAGGGTAGCATTCGCATGCATATCCTGAAATATGGACCCTCATCAACATGACAATTTTTTAACAGTGTGAGGACCAAGTCTCAGCTACGTGAAATGACCGGGTGATGGGGAGATGGCCGCTTTTAATAGACAGCACCAAAGGGGAGGTCATTCTCTAAATGAATCTCAAAATAGGGATATAGATAATTCATGTCTGCTTGGTCCGGTAAAATTTGAATTGTAAATGGAAAAAACAACCTAAAGCAAACTCTGTTGGCATGAAATATAAACCTGTCTCTTTGCCTTAAAAAAAAGAAGAAGAAAACTCACAATAAAACTTGCATTTTGCATATAAAAACAAAGTGCCAAAATAAAGTAAAATTAGCTTCAACCAACCACACCGCAACTTCTACTCACCAACAGCCCACACATATGTACGGGAAGCCTCTTCCGGCTGCCGTTTGTGAGTACACTGCGTTCTTGGGTAGCAAACATCCATGCTCTGCTGGGTTTTTCACAACATGCTTTTCTACTATCTGAATAAGAAGTGTACATCTTGGGATGAGAGCTTTCAGACAACACGAGTTACTTGGAGACGTCAAGTGTTTGATACGGGCTTACTAGTTACTTGCACAGGCCAGCCACTTCAATTGAACCGACGTCTTGACCCTGTCTCTCCTCTGGTTGCAGATGATTAAAACCAATAGGGTGAGGTTGACTCGGCGCAAATCTCCTTCACTTTAGTCACGCAAAGGTGCCGTAAATATAGTTTTTCACAGACTTGTGTTTTCTTCAAAAGAATTTTTTTTTTTGCTAAGAAAATAGCAAGGAAGAACCGGATTTGTGCGATACTAATAAATTGTTGATACTAATAAATTGTTGGAAAATTCCAAAGTATTCCAAGAAAGTTGCCGCCGTGAATTAGGGTTATCAAGGGGAGGAAGATGGGATTTGCTATCAGCATCAACCGGGCCGTTCCTCGATCATTCAGCTGATGAATCTTTTTGAAAACATTGTATTTTCAACCAGCTGCCTAGAGCGTATTTGTTAAGTTTGTTTTCCTTTTTTTGAAATTTAATACGCAATATGGGGAGTAAAATCAGTTCCATTGCTGGGTTGAGAGTCGTTAAAGCAACGCGGTGCGAGTCGTTAAGCAACGCGGTGAGAGTCGCTAAGATGCGTGGTAAGACTCGTTTAAACGGCACGATGAGAGTCGTTAAAGCAACGCGTTGAGAGTCGTTAAAGCAAAACAACACACTTCACCAATGCATGACAATTAAATAGCAGTGTTTTAGAAAAATATGAAAATATGGTGGAACAGTTTCCTTTACAACATTGTCTCTGACATTCATTCCCACAGTTGCTGCAAAGCTTTGGCTTCCAGCATAGCTTCCAGTGACTCTACTTTGACACAGAACTGAAATGGCAAAGTTTCTGCGATGATACTGTCTTTTACGATGAGGTTGTGGCATCTTCGTAGTGGTTTCTCACATTCGGTAAGAATTCAATTTGTTTTTTACTAGCTCGTTCCTTGGGTTTTAAAACTTTGTGAGCTTTTCGGGGGGGGGGGGGCACTAAATGCAAATTATGTGATTTTTTTTGGGCAATTCAATATTTGACATGGGGGGGGGGGGCACCGGGGGAAGGGGAGCACAAGAAGGAGCATGAACATCCACTAGGGCGCACGTGCCCCCATATCCCCTTCCAAAAGATAATAAATAGCAGAAAATTGTGGTTAAATAATTAAATAATTGATAATTGCCTGTTTTTTCCTTTTCCCAGCTATAACGCCCATGTTAGCTGTCAGTGCCAGGAGCAGCCTCAGTGGCAACTTTGAAGTACTGTGCATCGTCTTTTTATTCGTGAAGAGTCGCTGGGAGACACATTGGCGTGTGCATCGGAACGGGAACCTGAACAGTGATGTTTATATCCAGTATCTGTATATTATGGAATTATGTACCGTACTCAAATTAACATTACAAATTACTTAATGATGCTTGCACAAGTTCTACTTTGCACCGTACAGCTATAAAGGCCTTCAGATAGCTTCCGGGCCTGAATTTTATGGTTAGGCTTGGATAACCCTGCTTTCATTCAATAGGATATCCGTTTTCAGTCAATGTACATTAAACCATGCAGATTTTGTTGGCAGCAAAAAAAATCCAGCTACACTTAAGAGACTGAACTCTGAAAATATTGGGAATTATTTGGTCGAGAATTATTCAATCTAAGTTATCCTTTTTTCTGGAAGCATAAACATCTTAAAAACTTTACATTACTTAATGTGCACAAGCATGCCCGCTTTTCCAACAATTTTTATTTTTTTTAAATTCTTGTTATTATTTGTGTGAATGGTAAACCCATTCCAGTTTTATAGTAAGCTTGATGTTATTTGATTGCTTTTTTGTACAACTTATGTAACTGATTGAATTTCACATTCTCAATTGTCCCCTAAAAAATGTTGAATCCATCTTTGAATTATTTATTAAATGCCTGACTTATTTGGCTAACAAATAGACAGTTTGAAAATCTCCCTTGATGAATTATTGAAGTCAGTCTTTGTTTCAAGCTTGTATCCTTTATCCTGTAACAGTTTCATCATTTCAAAATTGTTACCTCCCCCCCCCCCCCCCCCCCGCTTTTAAAATATTTTACTTGCTGAAAAATTGGGGTCGGTTATGCAAAATTTGCAACTTGCTTAGTATTATATACCCACACCCCGTTAACACAAGCCTGGATATACGAGCTTGTAAACAAAACGAGCATCTTGATTTATCATTCATCAAACAAGCCTCTTTGTTTATTATTTTGGATATTTTAAAATATGAACCGTGTTGATTACAATATGAAAAAGTGTCCTATAGGCCAAAAAAAAATAAGTCGGTCTCTGGTCAGCGCGCGCGTCGATTTTATCCTGCGCATCGATTTTTTTTTCCAAATTGTTCCGCAAAAAATTGAGGAGGTGCGGAAATAGAGGGCGCTGTTGCAGCTGCAACAGCGCCCTCTATTTCCGCACCTCCTCAATTTTTTTTTTTACCAAAGAGCACCAAGGAATGGGAAATTGGGAAATTATGGAGGACACCAATGTACACGAGGACACCAAAAAAGCAAAATAGACCCACCTTGTCTGTACAATCCAAGCTTGAAAAAAAAAAAAAAAAAAAAAAAAAAAAAAAAAAAAAACCCGAAGCAAGGCGCTGAGAGTCGTTTAAGCAACGCGTTGAGAGTCGTTAATGCAAACACGGTGTGAGTCGCTAGGCAACTTGGTGAGAGTCGCTCAGCAACGCGGTGACACGTTTAAACGGCTGGATGAGAGTCGTCTAAACGGCAAGATGATAGAAAGAGAGACGTTTAAACGGTGCTGTGAGAGACGTTAAAGCAACGCGGCGTTAACACGCAGTCCTAAGCGGCGTGGTATGTGTCGTTTAAACGGCACGATGAGATTCTTAAGCAACACGGTGAGAGTCGCTAAGCAACGCCGTGAGATTCGTCTAAATGGCTCGGTGAGAGTCGTCTTAACGGCACGATTAGGGACGTTTATCGGCGCGGTGAGAGTCGTTTAAACGGCCCGGTGAGATTCGTTTAAGCAACGCTGTGAGAGTCGTTTAAATGGCGCATTTAGAGTCGTTGAGCAACGCGGTGTGAGTCGTTAAGAAACGCAGTGAGAGTCGCTTAGCCACACGGTGAGAGTAGTTTAAACGGCCCGATGGAAGTTGTTAAGAAAGACACTGAGAGTCGTTAAACCGCGTGGTAAGAGTCGCTGAGCGACGTGGTTAAGAGTCCTTTATACGGCACGATAAGAGTCGTTAAAGCAACACGTTGAGAGTCGTTCAAGCAACGCGGTGAGAGTAGTTTAAACGGCCCGATGGAAGTTGTTAAGTAACGCAGTGAGAGTCGTTAAGCAGCGTTGGTAAGAGTCGCTGAGTGGCGTGGGCAAGAGTCCTTTATACAGCACGATAAGAGTCGTTAAAGCAACGCTTTGAGTCGTTTAAACGGCGCGGCGAGAGTCGTCTTAACGGCACGATGAGAGACTTTTAAACGGTGCGGCGAGTCGTTTAGCAACGCGGTGAGAGTCGTTAAGGAACGTGGTAAGAGTCGTCTTAACGCCACATTGAGAAACTCTTAAACGGCCCGGTGCGAGTCGTTGAGCATCGCAGTGAGAGTCGTTTAAAAGGCGCGCTGAGAGTCGTTGAGCAACGCGGTGCGAGTCGTTAAGCAACGCGGTGAGAGTCGTTAAAGCAAGGCGCTGAGAATCGTTCAGAAACGCGGTGAGAGTCGTTAAAGCAACGCGCTGAGAGTTTTTAAAGCAATGCGTTAAGAGTCGTTAAAGCAACGCGTTGAGTCGTTTAAAAGGCGCGGTGAGAGTCGTTGAGCAACGCGGTGCGAGTCGTTCAGCAACGCGGTGAGAGTCGTTAAAGCAACGCGCTGAGAGTTTTTAAAGCAACGCGTTGAGTCGTTTAAAAGGCGCGCTGAGAGTCGTTGAGCAACGCGGTGCGAGTCGTTTAGGAACGCGGTGAGAGTCGTTAAAGCAACGCGCTGAGAGTTTTTAAAGCAATGCATTAAGAGTCGTTAAAGCAACGTCGCGGTGAGAGTCGTCTTAACGGCACGATTGAGAGACGTTTAAACGGCCTGGCGAGAGTCGTTCAGCAACGCGGTGAGAGTCGTTAAAGCAACGCGCTGAGAGTTTTTGAAGCAACGCGTTGAGTCGTTTAAAAGGCGTGCTGAGGGTCGTTGAGCAACGCGGTGAGAGTCGTTCAGAAACGCGGTGAGAGTCGTTAAAGCAACGCGCTGAGAGTTTTTAAAGCAATGCGTTAAGAGTCGTTAAAGCAACGTCGCGGTGAGAGTCGTCTTAACGGCACGATTGAGAGACGTTTAAACGGCCTGGCGAGAGTCGTTCAGCAACGCGGTGAGAGTCGTTAAAGCAACGCGCTGAGAGTTGTTAAAGCAATGCGTTGAGAGTCGTTAAAGCAACGCGTTAAGTCGTTTAAACGGCGCGGTGAGAGTCGTCTTAACGGCACGATTGAGAGACGTTTAAACGGTGCGGCGAGTCGTTTAAACGGCCTGGTGAGAGTCGTTTCAGCAACGCGGTGAGAGTGGTTAATGCAACGCGTTGTGAGTCGTTAGGCAACGTGGTGGGAGTCGCTCAGCAATGAGGTGACACGTTAAAACGGCGGGATGAGAGTCGTCTTAACGGCAAGATGAGAGCGTTGCTCAACGACTCTCACCGCGCCTTTTAAACGACTCTCACTGCGTTGCTCAACGACTCGCACTAGGCCGTTTAAACGACTCGCCGCACCGTTAAAACGTCTCTCATCGTGCCGTTATAAGACGACTCTCACCGCGACGTTGCTTTAACGACTCTTAACGCATTGCTCTAACGACTCTAACCGCGTTGCTGAACGACTCTCATCGTGCCGTTTAAACGACTCTTAACCACGCCGCTTAGGACTCTCCTGTTAACGACTCGTTCCTGAACGACTCTCACCGCGTTGCGTCTCTTATCTTGCCGTTATGACGACTCTCATCCCGCCGTTTTAACGTGTCACCTCGTTGCTGAGCGACTCCCACCGCGTTGCCTAACGACTCACAACGCGTTGCATTAACGACTCTCAACGCGTTGCTTTAACAACTCTCAGCGCGTTGCTTTAACGACTCTCACCGCGTTGCTGAACGACTCTCACAAGGCCGTTTAAACGACTCGCCGCACCGTTTAAACGTCTCTCATCGTTCCGTTCAGACGACTCTCACCGCGCCGTTTAAACGACTCACAACGCGTTGCTTTAACGACTCTCACCGCGTTGCTAAACGACTCTCACAAGGCCGTTTAAACGACTCGCAGCACCGTTTAAACGTCTCTCATCGTTCCGTTCAGACGACTCTCACCGCGCCGTTTAAACGACTCAACGCGTTGCTTTAACGACTCTCAACGCATTACTTTAACGACTCTCAGCGCGCCGTTTTAACGTGTCACCTCGTTGCTGAGCGACTCCCACCGCGTTGCCTAACGACTCACAACGCGTTGCATTAACGACTCTCAACGCGTTGCTTTAACAACTCTCAGCGCGTTGCTTTAACGACTCTCACAAGGCCGTTTAAACGACTCGCCGCACCGTTTAAATGTCTCTCATCGTTCCGTTCAGACGACTCTCACCGCGCCGTTTAAACGACTCAACGCGTTGCTTTAACGACTCTCAACGCATTACTTTAACGACTCTCAGCGCGCCGTTTTAACGTGTCACCTCGTTGCTGAGCGACTCCCACCGCGTTGCCTAACGACTCACAACGCGTTGCATTAACGACTCTCAACGCGTTGCTTTAACAACTCTCAGCGCGTTGCTGAACGACTCTCACAAGGCCGTTTAAACGACTCGCCGCACCGTTTAAACGTCTCTCATCGTTCCGTTCAGACGACTCTCACCGCGCCGTTTAAACGACTCAACGCATTACTTTAACGACTCTCAGCGCGCCGTTTTAACGTGTCACCTCGTTGCTGAGCGACTCCCACCGCGTTGCCTAACGACTCACAACGCGTTGCATTAACGACTCTCAACGCGTTGCTTTAACAACTCTCAGCGCGTTGCTTTAACGACTCTCACCGCGTTGCTGAACGACCTCACAAGGCCGTTTAAACGACTCGCCGCGTTGCTTTAACGACTCTCAACGCATTACTTTAACGACTCTCAGCGCACCGTTTTAACGTGTCACCTCGTTGCTGAGCGACTCCCACCGCGTTGCCTAACGACTCACAACGCGTTGCATTAACGACTCTCAACGCGTTGCTTTAACAACTCTCAGCGCGTTGCTTTAACGACTCTCACCGCGTTGCTGAACGACTCTCACAAGGCCGTTTAAACGACTCGCCGCACCGTTTAAATGTCTCTCATCGTTCCGTTCAGACGACTCTCACCGCGCCGTTTAAACGACTCAACGCGTTGCTTTAACGACTCTCAACGCATTACCTTAACGACTCTCAGCGCGCCGTTTTAACGTGTCACCTCGTTGCTGAGCGACTCCCACCGCGTTGCCTAACGACTCACAACGCGTTGCATTAACGACTCTCAACGCGTTGCTTTATAACAGCTCTCAGCGCGTTGCTTTAACGACTCTCACCGCGTTGCTGAACGACTCTCACAAGGCCGTTTAAACGACTCGCCGCACCGTTTAAACGTCTCTCATCGTTCCGTTCAGACGACTCTCACCGCGCCGTTTAAACGACTCAATGCATTACTTTAACGACTCTCAGCGCGTTGCTTTAACGACTATCACCGCGTTGCTGAACGACTCTCAGCGCGTTGCTTTAACGACTCTCACCGCGTTGCTGAACGACTCGCACCGCGTTGCTGAACGACTCTCACCGCGCCTTTTAAACAACTCTCACCGCGTTGCTTAACGACTCTCACCACGCCGGTTTAAACGACTCTAAACGCGTTGCTTTAACGACTCTTATCGTACCGTATAAAGGACTCTTTACTGAACAACTTCCATCGAGCCGTTTAAACTACTCTCACCGCGTTGCTTAACGACTCTCACCCGGCCGTTTAAACGACTCGCCGCACCGTTTAAAAGTCTCTCATCGTGCCGTTAAGACGACTCTCGCCGCGCCGTTTAATCGACTCAACGCGTTGCTTTAACGACTTTCAACGCGTTGCTTTAACGACTCTTATCGTGCTGTAATAAAGGACTCTTGCCCACGCCGCTCAGCGACTCTTACCAACGCCGCTTAACGACTCTCACTGCGTTACTTAACAACTTCCATCGGGCCGTTTAAACTACTCTCACCGCGTTGCTTGAACGACTCTCAACGCGTTGCTTTAACGACTCTTTTCGTGCCGTATAAAGGACTCTTAACCACGTCGCTCAGCGACTCTTACCACGCGGCTTAACGACTCTCAGTGTCTTTCTTAACAACTTCCATCAGGCCGTTTAAACTACTCTCACCGTGTGGCTAAGCGACTCTCACTGCATTTCTTAACGACTCACACCGCGTTGCTCAACGACTCTAAATGCGCCGTTTAAACGACTCTCACAGCGTTGCTTAAACGAATCTCACCGGGCCGTATAAACGGCTCTCACCGCACCGATAAACGTCCCTAATCGTGCCGTTAAGACGACTCTCACCGAGCCATTTAGACGAATCTCACGGCGTTGCTTAGCGACTCTCACCGTGTTGCTTAAGAATCTCATCGTGCCGTTTAAACGACACATACCACGCCGCTTAGGACTCGCGTGTTAACGCCGCGTTGCTTTAACGTCTCCCACAGCACCGTTTAAACGTCTCTCTCTCTCATCTTGCCGTTTAGACGACTCTCATCCAGCCGTTTAAACGTGTCACCGCGTTGCTGAGCGACTCTCACCAAGTTGCCTAACGACTCACACCGTGTTTGCATTAACGACTCTCAACGCGTTGCTTAAACGACTCTCAGCGCCTTGCTTCGGGTTTTTTTTTTTTTTTTTTTTTTTTTTCAAGCTTGGATTGTACAGACAAGGTGGGTCTATTTTGCTTTTTTGGTGTCCTCGTGTACATTGGTGTCCTCCATAATTTCCCAATTTCCCATTCCTTGGTGCTCTTTGGTAAAAAAAAAATTGAGGAGGTGCGGAAATAGAGGGCGCTGTTGCAGCTGCAACAGCGCCCTCTATTTCCGCACCTCCTCAATCGACGCGCGCGCTGACCAGAGACCGACTTATTTTTTTTTTGGCCTAAAGGACACTTTTTCATATTGTAATCAACACAGTTCATATTTTAAAATATCCAAAATAAAATATCCGAAACAAAGACTGACTTCAATAATTCATCAAGGGAGATTTTCAAAATGTTTTTGTTAGCCAAATAAGTCAGGCATTTAATAAATAATTCAAAGATGGATTCAGCATTTTTTAGGGGACAATTGAGAATGTGAACTTCAATCAGTTACATAAGTTGTACAAAAAAGCAATCAAATAACATCAAGCTTACTATAAAACTGGAATGGGTTTACCATTCACACAAATAATAACAAGAATTTTAAAAAAATAAAAATTGTTGGAAAAGAGGGCATGCTTGTGCTTGTGCACATTAATTAAGTAATGTAAAGTTTTTAAGATGTTTATGATTCCAGAAAAAGGATAACTTAGATTGAATAATTCTCGACCAAATAATTCCCAACATTTTCAGAGTTCAGTCTCTTAGTGCAGCTGGATTTTTTTTGCTGCCAACAAAGTCTGCATGGTTTAATGTACATTGACTGAAAACGGATATCCTATTGAATGAAAACAGGGTTATCCAAGCCCAACCATAAAATTCAGGCCCGGAAGCTATCTGAAGGCCTTTATAGCTGTACGGTGCAAAGTAGAACTTGTGCAAGCATCATTAAGTAATTTGTAATGTTAATTTGAGTACGGTACATAATTCCATAATATACAGATATTGGATATAAACATCACTGTTCAGGTCCCCGTTCCGATGCACACGCCAATGTGTCTCCCAGCGACTCTTCACGAATAAAAAGACGATGCACAGTACTTCAAAGTTGCCACTGAGGCTGCTACTGGCACTGACAGCTAACATGGGCGTTATAGCTGGGAAAAGGAAAAAACAGGCAATTATCAATTATTTAACCACAATTTTCTGCTATTTATTATCTTTTGACGTGCGCCCCAGTGGATGTTCATGCTTCCTTCTTGTGCTCCCCTTCCCCCGGTGGCCCCCCCCCCATTTCAAATTTTGAATTGCCAAAAAAAATCACATAATTTGCATTTAGTGCCCCCCCCCCGAAAAGCTCACAAAGTTTTAAAACCCAAGGAACGAGCTAGTAAAAAACAAATTGAATTTTTACCGAATGTGAGAAACCACTACGAAGATGCCACAACCTCATCGTAAAAGACAGTATCATCGCAGAAACTTTGCCATTTCAGTTCTGTGTCAAAGTAGAGTCACTGGAAGCTATGCTGGAAGTCAAAGCTTTGCAGCAACTGTGGGAATGTATGTCAGATACAATGTTGTAAAGGAAACTGTTTCAGCATATTTTCATATTTTTCTGCTTTAACGACTCTCATCGTGCCGTTTAAACGAGTCTTACCACGCATCTTAGCGACTCTCACCGTAATTCGTAAAAACTTGGTAGTTTTAATTTTCGATGTTTGAAAATGTTGTATATTCCCTTCAAGCATCCAAACAACTATTAGCATTTTTTAAATAGTACATGTAAAAAAGAAAAAGAAAAGTAAAATAATTTAACTAAGTAATTTAGTATTTAAAGTTCTTGTCCAAGGCTACATGCAAATCTTCTATTCAATATGTCATGTACATATATATATATTATATATATATATTATATATATAACTATATATAACTAAATATATATATATTTATATATATCCAATGAAATCGTCTTCTATCACAATTCACAGTGCTCGATACATCTCTGTAGAGCTATAAACATGCAATAAATTCAGAATATTCTCTTTCTGAATGTGAATGTACAGTTAGGAAATTCTTGTTATTATTTGTGTGAATGGTAAACCCATTCCAGTTTTATATAAGCTTGATGTTATTTATTGCTTTTTTGTACAACTTATGTAACTATAAGTTCAGAATATTCTGAATTTATATGTATATTTATATATATATATTTATATGTAAAGATTTTTTTTAATGACCTTGAGTAATGTAAGTAACTTGTAACATTATAAAATAAATCAAACCTTTTCCCTATAATTCAGAAAGTAATACATACACAATTTTTTTTTTTTCAATTTCGTTTTTTGAACTGAATTCCCCATTTAATTGAGATCTGGAAAAAATACAAAAAAGGTTTAATATGTAAATATTTATTTTGTTTCCTCTCCCACGGAGAATTGCCTAACTGTACATTCACAAAGAAAAGAGGAAATTCCACAATTCAGAAGACTTATGTACATTGTTTTTCTATTTTGAATGACAGAAATGGGAATAAAAAGAGGAAATCAGCTGATCTGAGGAAAAGTTACAATGCTTGATATTTATTATAGGTTTCCCTGGCCTATTTCCTAAAATTTTCATTCACATCTGAAAATCTGTCATTAATTTTTGTTTAAATTGGCGAATCACCCTGAACAGTCATTGGCCGCGTGACCTCAGTTTCTTGTCCGGAGGTCACGCACGTATGGTCAAAAAGCCTACGCGAGATTTTACGAGACTGTATTTGAGACAACAAAAACATAAGAAACTCGAGTACCTTGATACATGCACTGTTTGGCCAAGATGGCTAGGTTAGTGAAAAGTTGAAATCCTACTTTATTAGCAACAAAAGTGGGGCCGAAAATCTTTAGGTGTAAATTCGATTTCTTTAAAAGTAGACAAAAGTAGTAAATATATATGCACGCTTCATTTTCACGTGAAACACGTGCAGGAAACTTTTAGATTTCAAACAATTCTCTTAGTATAATGCCATCGGCACGCATTAAACTAAGAGTGAATTTATTGTTTTGAAACTAGGGGTTTCAAAATCAAATTAGCTGTAAATGAAATCAATTTACAAAAAGTTTGCTTGCGTAAATATGCACAGGTAACGTAATTGGCCGTTTCTCAAAACCGAATTTATGTACAATGAAAACATTGGCCGTTTCTCAAAACCGAATTTACGTACAATGAAAACAATGGAACTTTCGTTGAATTGAAATGAAATCGAAGACGTCAAAAATTCAGACGAAAATAAATGTTCATAAGTGTATGAACATTTCAGGAAATTTACAGGGAAAACCTAAACAATAAAATCATCTGCTATGCAATTTTTGTTGGCAAATTTTTAGTAAATTGCTGGCTATTTTGTTTCAGTTATTACTTAAAGTATGACATAGTTCCCGGTAAGATCAAGGTTTCTGAATTTTGCTTTTAGCTTTTTTGTCTTCGGTATGCATTCTTCTCCTAGTGGTGCACTCTGGAGCTTTTTATGTGATGTTGGCCTGTTCTTTTCTGATGAAGCTTGGCTCTTATCTCTCATTGTAAAAGAGTACCACCCAAAAAAGCAAAATAACAACACAATTTTAATCAATTTAATCAACGTGTCAAAACGCTTGTAGGATAGCATCAGTGTGACCACCCGTTTCTATCAGATTTCAACTATAACAAAATCCTGCTCCCCCCCCAAAAAAAGTGAGGTGCTCCAACAGACTATTCTCTACTCCAATGAACTCATGTCATTCACATTATACTTGAGTAAAGTACCTTTATATAATTTGAAATACATTTCGTCAGTTCGCCAACGTCAATAACTTCAGTTGGATGCCATGCAAAATGTTGCTTTTGTAGAACTTGGTGAACGTATCTTCCGAAGCCCAGTTGATGACCGATGGGCACACCAGATCGTGGTGATGCTGACCGTGGATGCTCTTGGTATGGAATTGTAAGAGGAAGCGCCAATGCCGGCAGAGGTCGTCACAGACTTAAACCAGCGGACTTGTTGAAGAAACAACTGGGAGATAGGAAAAGTGCAAAATGAGAGGTACATTAATAATAATCCCAAATATTACACAAAATAATAAAAACCTGTTGGTTTCCGTCATTCGAAATTATATTCAGTTAAGTATCATTCTATGATCTGTATAAATCCAAGACAGGGTTGAGGAAGGAAACCTCTCGTGCAACCGAACTCTTCGAAGGGTGGAGCAAACCGTATTACAGGGGACGTAATACAAGTATAATGCAAAGCATTTTCTGACAAATGAAACAATTTCATCGGGTAGGAAATCAACGCTGATCGTCAAAACTATAGACGAATTAGAGATCAAATCAGTAATTAAGCAAGGCGCTATATTGTTACGTAAGGTGGTGTGATCTAATTGGTACTTGTTTTTTTTCCCCTAGGGATTCTTGCAGGGGAGTATTAACAAGGATGCCAGAAACACCGGAACAAACCCCTTCTCTTCTTTTACGTGCATTAAATGTACGCACGGGACCTACAGCTTTACGTCACAGCCGAAGGACGAAGTAATTATTATTAAGTGCCTTGCTTAAGGGCAAAAAGTGCAACACTCTGCTGCCTCTGCAGAGCATGCGTCCGGTGCGGTGCTCTTAACCGCTATAGGCCATGGCAAGAAAATTGCTCCCCAATTAAAACTGTTCGACATGTAATTAAGTTATTTGGGAAAAAAATAAATTCGTGATTTAGCCATGGTCACAACGAAACGCCTTGTAAGCGTCATCTACAGGAATTTAATGATCTATTCTTAGAACTAGATACACGATGGGCTAAGTGAATTAATTTTCTGTTGAAATGAATGACGTCTGAACGCATTGAAGACACACACACAAAAAAGCCAATCAATCTAGGAATGATAGCGGTTCATTTGCGACAGACGTCACTGTTACACTAAAATGTAGCATTATATTTTTGAACCTTAGAATTGCTTTGGCCTGGAAAACGGTCGATTACCTACTCTTTTTGTGTGCGCACTTGTCGCTCAATTTGCAGCAGGATTTTGAAAAAGGCTTAAAACTATCGCCATGTTGAACTGCGGTATGGTGCATGTTTAATGGAAAATTTGTTGCGAGCGTCAAGTTTTGATTCCCCCCCCCCAAAAAAAGGTTTGATTGCCAAAAAAATCAGTTCTTTGATTGTGCGACCTGGACAAAATTATGGAGTCCGACCACGTTTCATGAGAGGCGTTACTGGGCCTATAGCCTAACTGTCATGGACATGATAGGACCGGTGATGCTAGCGATGGATGGAAAGATTACGATATAATAGATTTTTGGTTGAATGTAGTTTTCAAAGAAGAACGGTCAGACGCGAACCATGTAGATTTTCGTAGTGGAATATTCTTGGATCTCCAAAAAATCTAAGGTATGTTTTATGAGAAACGAAAATGGCAATGAATGCCATACTAAGTACGTCAGTTATCTGCCAGTTAAAACTTCAATGTTCACCTCACCTTGTGATTTCACCTAAGACGAATCCAGAAAGGGAAGGAAATGTGAAGACATATAGGAAAAATGTGTTTTTAGAGCACACTTTGGAGGCCCACATCAGTTCGGCAGCAGACAGGCTTGTAGCCCCATAAATAAGGCCAATTTACTGGACTACCTCCGTAAATAAAGGCCACACTTTCCAACATGGTACAAAACCATGTAGAATTTGTCAAATTTTGATTTTCATATTTAGGCGTAGTTTGTAGTTTATTTTTGCTTCAGACGCATACTCACCCTCTTTATATGCTATTCAAAAAGTGCTGCCGTTTTCAGATGTCTAATTTTCGTAAAGTTTCATGTTGAAATTTTTTACGCACACGTGTGCAAACGAATCGGGAAATTTCACAAAAATAGACATCTCAAAAAGCAGCACTTTCTTGATTAGCCTATAAGGAGGGTGACGAGTATGCTTTTTTTAAGCAAAAATAAACTACAAACTACGCCTAAATGTGAAAATCAAAATTGGACAAAGTTCTACATGTTTTGGTACATGGTTGGAAGTGTGGCCTTTTATTTACGGAGGGGATGGGATCCAGTAAATTGGCCACAACAGTCTTGGCGACAACTTGTGGAATTGGTTATTAATTTATGCAGTGCGCGATGCGCATGACGTGTCATCACTACCCGTACCCAATGATAGAGCAAACGTCATCATGAACAATAAATTTTCATGAATATTTAGTTATAACTTTATACTTTAAATACAGTTTATAGTCCCTTACTGTCGACGATCGTTCGACTGGTGTGGCGGGAAAGGCTAGCGTGATTAAATAAGAAGATTGTGGGTTCGAATCCTGGCGGGTAAAGCATGGAGGAATCAGAAGATTGAAGGAGGTAGAGTAGGGAAAATAGCAGAAAGAACCATAGAAAATAACTTTTTGGCGATTGAAAAAAAGTGACTTACTAGGTACGGTATTTTTTTCCCGAAACTGTTGACGTGTTGGACACCTAGATTGTGCCTCGAAGCGCACGGCTTTTTCGGCTTTCTTGATTCTTTTCCCATGGCCGGAATCCAAAGACAGCGTATCCGTCACAAACTCCTCGAAGACGGGGTGTCATAGCTTCGAGACGAGGTGACTTGTTCAAACCTGTCGACAATGCCGATTATTACTCTTCGATGGCTTTTATAGTGTCTTTGAGGCTGTTTTTGTATCGTCAGTCAAATGTTTTCAACTGAACCCCAACTCCCTAGGGGGTGTGCAAAATCATAATGAAATCGGAGGATTCAGGACTGCAGAGAAGATTAGATCAGGATCAAACACTGCAGGAAGAAAAATGCTGCTGGTTTCCGTCCCACTTCGAAGGTAGGAGTGTCAGTGAGTCTCTTCTTGCAGAAGGATTCGACTCGTGCGTCGATAGACGTTGTTGGAGCCTTGGATGGCTTGCAAGATTTCTTGATTGCCGCTGTGTATCGTCCTCTGACATGACGTGTAGGCAGAAGCTGTTTTGAGTGGTTTGTAGTCCGGTGTGGCAGCATCACCGACAACGAATGCTTGAAGCACCTCTAAATTTAAAGAGATGGCATGCACATTCCTCATTACGTAACCCTGTTTGAGCGCTGCAAAAAGCCGGTTGTTAGCGTGACGTCATCTTAATTTAAATTTTTGCGTACCATTGAGTGCGTTCGATTACTTCCCCGAGCTTACTCGCGCCTGGCTCCTCGCGTGATGACAGACATGCGCAGTGGAGCTAAATAAAGTTTCATGCAAGAGCTGGAAACATTGGCGTCGCCAGGATTTTTTTCTAGAGGGGGGACAAAACATATTTCCCTCCCAAAAATCCTGTATTTCTCAACATATCGCTTTCAATAATTATGTCAATGTCAAAATGTTTTCTCCCCATTAATTTTCTTTCCAATAATTTGGGGTGTTTCCTCTAACTTTTTAAAGTCTCCCTCGTTAGGCAACCCTTCACTATTTAGGCCAATTAACAGACACCTCGTTTTCCCCGTTTTGGTTTGATGGACTAAATATTACAACGTTATCATTGTTGACAGGATACCCAAATATGAGGGAGAGTATAATTATCACACGGCAGGTATTAACGATTAATGCAAGCATGGATGCAAGTTAATGTTCATTCACTTCTGAAAATCGGTCATTCATTTTCATCTGAATTTGAATGCACGTCTTTAATCCCATTGCAATGCAACGAAGGTTCAATCGTTTTCATTGTCCGTGCATTCGGTTTTGAGAAACAGATGGCCAATTACGTTACCTGTGCATTCATTTACGCAAGCATACATTTTCTAAATTGATTTCAGGTACAGCTCATTTGACGGTTAATGAAAAAGAAAATCCTAATTATATCAGGTGCCGATGGCATTAAGCTGAAAGTGAACTAGAATGTTGAATGTTTGAAATCGCCCTCTAAAATCGAAAAAGAAGTCTTGTAAACGAATCCAAATGGACATAAACGTAAGGTGCTGATCATCAACTTCTTTGATTGAACTGAAATGGAATCGAATGATCTGGTACCGAAAATGAAACCGCGTGTTCAGAGTGATTCTCAAATTCAGACAAAAATGAATGACCGATTTTTAGAGGGTGAGTGAACATTTTAGGAAATTGGCCGGGAAAACCTATACAAAAAAATGCCGTGAAATTATTTTCTAGAGAGCTTTTTCACATTTGGCTGGCCTGCTATTTATGCAACTTTCAGGGTTTGCTTCCCCCTATAATAAGCAACTGTGAATGGATTATGAAGCCAACCACTGGCTCACATTGCTGTAACAAGCATTGCATTTATGTGTAAGCCTCTCAACAAAAGAATGTTATATTACAGGGACGAACGAAAAGACAATAGCCAAGTCCTCGAGCGTTATGTAAAACATGAATGGGTGGGTGTTTGTGTGATCTGTTACACGGTACCCCTCTGGAGACGTGTGCACAATATGGAAACAAAATATTGTTGTATACGTCTCCACAGGGCAGTTTCTATATGTGCATACTCCACAATGTTATCACGAAATAGATGTATGGACTTTACTAAAAAAATAGGAATTTCCAAGGTGTGTTGATCAGTCGCACATTGAAGTATTTTATGTAAGGGATATCAAGTCCAAATTTCAGCCAAAGAAATTCATTCTGTTTAAAATAGGAGCATTTTGAAAGTACACTTTCAAACTCGAAAACTTTAGTACACGAGAACAAAGAAATTACCCCACAAGGATACAAATTTGGATGCTGGACACAAACATACATATAAATGCATGTACATCGTACATATACTGGAAGTTGCTTTTAAAATTACATTGCATGTGTTGTTAGCCTTGGTCAAGGCGCTAGTTGTTATTCATCCCGGCCGTAGGCGCGGTAAACGATATCCTCGCTAGCGCTATGCATGCGGTGCATTGTAAATACAGCTCGAACAGCGACCTCACGCGGCCACCATTTCTATGCAAATCAGTTGGACCCAATCTAGCGCCTTTGTTCAATCGTCGGCAATAGCTTATGTTTTTCTTTATTTTACGCTGGATTTCTAGCAAGATTGAGTCCAACTGATTTGCATAAAAATAGTAGCCGCGTGAGGTCGCTGTTCGCGCTGTATTTTAAATGCACTGCATGCATAGCGCTAGCGAAGATATCGGTTACCGCGTTACGGCCGGATGAATAACAACTAGCGCCTTGACCAACGCTAATGTGTTTTAAACAGAACTAGACCTGTAATTGTGGACAATCGCATAGCTGTTTCGGCAACAGTTTTATCAAGAACTGTCATGAAGGACTTTTTATGACGTCACACATTTATCGAAATTTGGTGCATATATCTATGGCCTATCGAATCTAATACGTACATACCAAGTTTCAACCCAATCAGACCTGTAGTTCTGCAGATATTGGCCATTAAAATATCCACATTTAATATGACGTCACATGTCACGTGATTACGTCATCGTGACGTCACTTAAATGTTCATCTATAACGCATCCCGGTTTAGGTACATACCAAGTTTCAACCCAATCAGACCTGCAGTTCTGTAGATATATGCCTTCAAAATATGCTCTTTCAATATGACGTCATCGTGACGTCACTTCATTTTTCATCTATAAAACTTCCCGGTATAGGTACATACCAACTTTCAACCCAATCGGACCTGTAGTTCTAGAAATAGCCCTATCTGTCAGATCTAGCCGAATTCTGCTAGAAAATGGTCACAATAGAAAAATTGCATATTATGTGACGTCACGTGACTCGTGATGACGTCATGATGACGTCAATGTTCGGGGCACATCTTCAGATGCTGGTCTAAGTGTGTGCCGAGTATAAAGTCAATCGGATTAATTTTAGTGCCCAAAGTGCCTTCCACTGTAAAAACGTGTACAAATGCTATGGGGAATGGCTGAAAAAGAAGAAAAGAAAAGATCACGAAATTAAATCCTTTCCATCACAATAAATTATTTTGTTTAAAAATGCATCTTTAACGGTGTGATACATTTCCATAAACATTTTATGTACACATACGAGTTATTTCTAGCTTGATGACGTCATTATTAAGGAAGTGAATACTGACTTAGTTCGGAGTGGATAAATGTTTATTGTGAAGTTGAATAACGTATGGAAATATGGAAAATATAATTGTATGCATTTATAACATCTAATTTCCGGTTTCATTACGTCACTAGTATTTGGAAGCAAAAGGTTAACATTGTTATGGATATCGTTATTTGAGCAACGAAGATATACGACATGGATCAAATGATAGAATTCAATTCAAAATATGATCGTTTTCAAATTCTCATAGACGTAACTCTGATGTCGTCATGAATTTGAAACCTTGCCAAGTCATCTGTGGTTAATCAAAGAATATCAAGGAGCGATTTGGTAATCTTTGAACCGATGGTCTTCAGATTAAAGAAAACAAACACTATTTCATGTGCCACTATTTTATGATGATGACGTCATCACACTGTTCTTTGGGACTTGCATTTCTTACTAAACACTTGCATAATATATATGTCTATAGTAAAATGCTTCCGCTTTTGAGTTATATTCGTTTTTTATTGCACTTCCGGTAACACCGGAAATAAAGGTCGAGCGGTTTTGTGTCAGGGAACAAGAAATGTTTCTCATGGCATAGTCGACAACCTCACGAAAAAAACGAACACGATACTCCATTTAGTTCAAAAGATATAACGCAAACTATTTTGTCAAAATTTGCCCTCAAATCGCTTGTAATTTGATACCTGATGACGTCATGATGCCGTAACAAAATTTGTAACATCTTCGTAACATGGTACAAGTTCACACAAGGTTTTGTGATCATACCGTAAACGGTTCGGAAGAAATTTGCTTTGTTTTTATTTCAGGCTTACGTCTTCATTTTGAATTCACCTATTTTTGACCTTCCGGTAGACCCGGAAGTAAAGGTCAAGCGAGTTCACGTACACAACAAAAGATGTTAAGCAATTAATGGTCTATCTGATTACAGAATACAAACATCATTGAATGTTTAGTTCGAGAGTTATAGGTGAAATAATATTGTCATTATTTCAACGAAAATCGCTTGTAATTTGACACCTGATGACGTAATCATGACGTCAGAGTAATATGCACCACTTCGGATGAGGGTCGATAGACTCTAAGTTACAAGCTCATACCATATACCGTTTAAAAGAAAACTTGCGGAGAAGTATTGTCCGGAAAAAAAAAAAGAAAGAAAGAAAGAATTAGAGGTTCGCGTTTGTTGTTACAAACGCAGAGTGGTCGGGCGGGCAATTTTTTTCATTAAACACTGCCGAGTTAAGTTATGAATATTTTTTGTAAGAACAAAGGATCAAAAATTAAATCCTTTACAGTACAATCAGTTATTTTGTGATAAAATTCAGTAAACATTATATGTACACATTTAAGTTATTTCTGGCTTGATGACATCATTATTCAAAAAAGGGAAGTGAATACTGATTTAGTTCAGAGTGGATACATGTTCATTGTACAGAAGTTAAAAAACGTATGAAAATATGAAAAATGTAAGAGTATGTGTTCATAACATCTAACTTCCGGTTTGATAACGTCACAGTATTTGAAAGCATGCAAAAAGTGAACATTGTAATGGATATCGTTATTTGGGCTACGAAGATATTCGACATGGATCGAATGGTATAAAATAGACTTAAAATGCGGGTCGTTTTCATATTCTCATAGAAGTAATTTCCGGTCCGATGACGTCATGAATTTGAAACCTTGCCAAGTTATTTGTGGTTATTCAAAGAATATCAAGGGGCGATTTTGATAAAATTTGAATGGATGGTTTTCACTTTAAAGAAAGCAAAACACTGTTTTATGTGTCGCTTGGGGGCGCCCTTTCGAAAGATGACGTCATCACACTGCGTTTTTGTCTGGCATTCCTCACTAAACACTTTCATAATTTATATGTGTGTATTAAAATGATTCCGCTTTTGAGTTATATTCGGTTTTTATTGCACTTCCGGTAACACCGGAAGTGAAGGTCAAGCGGTTTTGTGTCCGGGAACAAGAAATGTTTCTCACGGCATAGTCTTCAACC